ATTCTTAGTCTTCTTCTAAGCTCACCTTGAGCACTACCTTCTACGTGAAGTCTCTTTGGACTCCCCAGCTGCTAGTGCCTCCTCATCACTTTACCAAAATTGTATTTTTTAATGTAAGAAGCACAGAACTTCCCAGACAACATCTCCCCATGCAGGAGAGCCTGGGGAGCCTGCTTCCAAGAGAGTTATGGAAATACCTCGGAAAGACTTGAAAATATGGAGACATTTGGTAACTGGTTCTGGACCACTAAACACATGGTTAGGAGAAGCCTTTCTGATTGGCTATGTAGCCAAAACTGGGATTGACTTCAAAAGCAATCATGAGCAAAACCTCCATTATTCATTCTGTCTGGCTGTTCTGTTCTTGGTTTGACTCCTTCACTGATGGTGTCTGGTGAGATAGAGTGATGAATGGGAAGAGGCTATCCCCAGAGATAGAGGGGAAGTTGAGCCCTCCCCACTGAGGCCAACAGATGGTGCCCTTAAATGAGCCTTGGTCCTTTCCCTTGGTGTTTGTTCTGTTCTGTTTTAGATGAAGAGATTGGAGACCTCTGAAATTGTGTTTTGAAAGGTCAAGAGAGCAAGTCTCTGGGAGCCTCTAGGCATCCTAAAGTCCCAGCATCTAGATTTTGCAGAGACTGGAATGACCTTTGGACCAAGCCCAGTGGAGCTGAAACCTGAGTTCAAATTCAACCCAGACACTTCCTAGCTGTGTTTAACCTCTGTTTGCCTCAGTTTCCTTATCTATAAAATGGGGAAAATAATAACACCTACCTCCCAGAAGCCCAACTGCCAAATCTAAAGCCAACAGTAAAATTGAATCTAATGTAGACAAATATTGATCTCCTAAGTAAATAATTTACTCATTTATCAGGACCACATCTCTCAGAAGCAAGGAAGGCATCTGGAGGCCAGGCACTGTGTTTACCTTTCTTTGTATACCTATTGTGAATAAAACTGCTATGACTATTTTTGAATGGTCAGCTCCCCCACCCCCAAACCCAAGGATGGTCAATGTCCTGGACAGCAAGCTGGCTCCCATCTTCCTCCTCTCCTGTTTGAATTTTGACTCCTCCAACATAATTCCTTTCAGCAATTTTTTTCCTTTTTTTTTTTTTTAGTGAGGCAATAGGGGTTAAGTAACTTGCCCAGGGTCACATAGCTAATAAGTGTCAAGTGTCTGAGGCTGGATTTGAACTCTGGTCCTCCTGAGTCCAAGGCCAGAGCTCTATCTAATGCACCATCTAGCTGCCTCCCTTTTTAGCAATTCTTTTTTTTCTCTTTTAAATTTTTTTTGAATTTTTGCATGACTTGTACATGTATAATTTAGCAATTCTTGAAGAAAAGGAAAGATGATAATAGAGGAAATCTATCCCAAGGGCCAGAAATAAATTCCTGGCTTCATTTCACTCAGACAGCTTTTCTAAAACTATCTTGATGTTGTTCAGTGGTGTCTTCCAACTCTTCTTGATCCCATTTGGGGTTTTCTTGGCAAAGACACTGGAGTGGTTTGTCGCTTCCTTCTTCAGTTCATTTTACAGATGAAGAAACTGAGGCAAGTAGGGTTAAGTGACTTGCCCAGGGTCACAAAGCTAGTGAGTGTTATGTGTCTGAGGCCAGATTTGAACTCAGGTCCTCTTGATTCCAGGCCAAGTATTCTGTCCACCGCATCACCTAGTTGCCCTTCTTAAACTATCAGACTATATCAATAGCACCTTAAACTTTTAAAAACATGTTCAGGATCTGTGGGTCTCCCAGATCCTAGCAAAGTACATTATATACAATAGATGCTTAATAAATGTTGGATTCCCCTGTGCTGATTGGGGGAGAGAAGTATAGTGTTTGCTTTGGCTTGGTAGCCAAGTGCTACTTGAATTCATTTTCAAGACATTTTTATTTATATCTTCTTTATAAATCACTTTCATTTGTGAGTATATCTCTTCTCCCTCCCCTGCTCAGTGAGCATTCCCTTGAAACAAAAGAAAAAAGGAAGAAAAAAGAAAAAAAAGCAGTTCAGTAAAATCAAAATATTAAGCAAAAATTTTATATATATATATATATATATACACATATGTGTATATATATATGTATATATACATATATGTGTATATGTGTGTGTGTGTGTGTATATATATATATATATATATATGAATATTTTGACACCCATAGTCCCCTCACTTTGAAATGAAAGGAAGGAGGTCCATTTTCTCAAATCTTCTCCAATGGTAAATTTCTTAGTCTTCGTAATTATACAGTGTTGTTTTTTCTATTTTTCCTTTCCTTTCTTTTTCTTTCTTTCATTCTTTCCCTCTTTTCTTTCCACTTAAGTTGCTGTAATCATTGTGTATATTGACTTCCTGGTTCTGCATCAGTTCATAGAAGTCTTTCCATGCTTCTCTGAATTCTTCACATTTGTTATTTCTTACACCATAGGTTCTTACACCATTAGGTTCATGTGCAACAACTTGTTCAGCCATTCCCCAAATGATGGACATCTACTTCGTTTCCATTTCTTTGCTATGACAAAAAGCGCTGCCATGAATATTTTGCTACATATGGGACCTTTCTATCTCTGGCCTCTGGAATGTCTCATAGGTCCCACCAACTCCTGTTGCAGGCCCACAGGCCCTGCTTTCCTCCCCTTGTGCTCAAGCAACTCTTGCTACTCTCCCCTGCAATTGGGCCTGGTGTCTCTTGGGGGTTGTTAAAGCATCTGCTATCAGTACCTTCTCCCTTTCCCCAGGTCCCCCATTCTCCTTCTCCAAGAAGTTCTCAGATATAGAGCTGGATAGAATCTTGGGTCCTACACCCTCATTTTACAGTTGAGGTGACCAAGGCTCACAGAGCTTCAACCACTTGCCATCCCTGGGTTACTTTTAAAGCAAGGGTCTTAGCTTCTCCAATTTTTCATGCTTTGGGGACAATTCTACCACAGCTCAGTTGTGGGGCCATTCACTTTGGTATATGTCCTGACTTAGATAACCACCTCAGTACACAGATAATGTGAGGAATTTGTTTCTCAGGCTCCAAGATGGTTTCTCCCAAGCCATGGACCAGACTAGAACCATGTTTCTGCTTTTTGAGGAAAGAGGAAGTTCAAGTTTTGCCCTCTGTCCCCCACCTCCCATGTCCCTTGCCCACTACCATTTTCCTAAATAGAGTGCCTTAAGTTATTAGTGTATCAATATTTAGTCAAGGCTCCAACAGAGCCAAGAAATAATCTTTGTAAAGCACTTAGCACAGTGCCTGGCACATAGTAGATCTACCTAAATGCCTATCCCCCCTCCCTTCCTCCCTCTCTCCCTCCTCTTCAAACAAGCTTTCCTGGGTTGACTAGGATTCCCAAAGATATGGCTGACCAGCCTGTGCTCAGGCATTGCACAATGTATGGTTAGATGTCAGAATCCCATTGTTGGAAGGTGGATCAGAGGTCATCTTGTTCAACCCACACATGCCCTCTACAATAAATAGCCCCAAGTGGCCATGTAGATCTCACTAGAAGATTTGCTGTACTTTCAGTTTCAGTGTTTTAGTGTGTGCCATTTCCCTATGGTGGGAACAGCCCCCACTTCCCTCTCCCCACACCAATGTCCACCATTTTGGTCCTTCGAAGTTCAGCTCATAAGGCTGTATCTTCTCTGAGGCTGCAAACCAGATGGAATCCCTCTTTCCTTCTAATGTTATGAGCTTATATGTTCCAGATTATTATATTCTTCATTACTTGTGACATCCTTGAGGGAGGTAGTGCCTACCTAAAATGAAGAAGTTCCTTTCATTTTGGAGTTGAGGAAATTCAGAGAAATTAATCCACTTCTCAGTGTTAATAATGTGTCAGAGGCAGGACTGAAACCCTTGGTATTAACAACATGATTTGACAAGTTCTAACACTATAATAAATTATTCTAATCTCATACAAGGGGCATTCTTCCAGTCCAATTATTATATGTTTGTGTCATATGTTATATGAATGGGAATCATGCTCTTTTCTTTTGAAGTTTAGGCATTGAGACATATGAAACAATCTCTAAATGTCTTTTGCTTTTGTTATAAATTTCCTTTTCCCAATAAGAACATTTTAGTTCTTGCTTTAAAAACACAATGACAACTCTTTTTGCTTGCTAGATTTATTGAGCACTTACATGCTAGACACTATACTATACAAATATAAGCAAACAATTCAGTTCCTCCTCTCAAGGAGCTTACATCCTGACACAGGAATACAACACATAAAGGGGGCTGGGGGGGATTTCGGCAATCAAGCTGGGGTGAGGCTGCTAAGCAGGTGGGGCAGGTGGGAGAGAGAGCTGAGCATGAAGCAAGCACAAGCATGGTTGGGGCTCTTCAGAAAATGGGGATCCTGGCCAGGGACTCACCAGTGAGCTGCGGAAGCCCCACAGTGCTGTCAAGTGTATGTTTATCAACTGTAGTTTTTTTCTAAACAACTAAGTTTTACTGAACATTTCAATTATTCTTTGAATATCCATTATAATCACATGCCATGGTTCTCTGAACCATCTCCCTGCTTTTGCTTTCCTTCTTGGGGTGACTTTGTTCTTTCATAGCTGAAGATGAAGATGGCAGCCAGACTGTGCAGACCTCCCTAGTATACTTTGGGGGCATTCAAATTAATCTCAGAAATGCAAGTGCTACAGAAGAATTAAGAGCAAATTTTGATTCTCCTCAGGAGGCTGTCGACCCTGGAAGTGGAGGGGTGATAGGGAGTCAAATCCCTAACTACTTTGTATAGATTTGTATTGAAGCACTTTATACAGTCTACAATCATATCTATTTTTGTCTAACAAGTTGGGATTGTTCATTTTTTGTCTTGGTATCGTCAATACTTAGTACTGTGGTTGGCACATAGTAAGAGTTAATAAATACATACTTGTGGGTTAGGAGACCCTGTAGCAGATGCTTCTGGCATTTTAGGGTCCTTTATAGACTTGGCTTCCACCTCCCTGTGTGGGATGCCACTAAAATTTAAAAAAAACACAGAGGTATCCAAGGAGAAACAGAAAGTTAATTTATTATTATTTCAAATCTCAAGATTTGGGTATGCCTCCACCAGGATGCCCTGATGAGAGGAGACAGAGTACAGGAGCAAAGGACCTGATTAAATAGCCCTAATGGGTAAAGCCCCCTCCCACCAACTGGCCAATGTTTTGGTTCCCAATCTCAACATGAAACTCTACCATAGGAACAAACAACAACAAACAGTATGCATATCTTAGTTACAAATTATAGATATCCATATTTAGCCCTTAGTTTGTTGAAATATTACCAAAAAAGCAATTAAAGATGTGCAGTCAAGCTAGACACTGTGCTGTGTAGCAAGGTCACCATGACTAAAGTATAGCAACAGGTGTATCAACAAAATACAGAGGTGGGGGGTTTCAGGAGTTTCAGGCTTGGCAAACTTTAACTGCTGAAATAACAATGGCATAGAAAGGGGGAGTACTTGGGGCTAGACTCCCATAACTCAGGTGATTTCTAGTAAACTAAAACTTAGGCCTGTCAGGCTGCTGTGCCTGCCTTGTGTCACAATACAATTTCTATTTATTCTTCTGAGAAATCTTCATGGAACCCCTTATCCCACTCAGCCTTATCCCAAACCTTAATTACACTGAGGAATCTTCACTGGGGCATCCCATTCATCCCTATCTAGCCTTCTTTCTTACTACCTTCTGTCATGAAGTCTACCCCCACATAATCTAGACAACCAGCTGCCCCTCACTCTCCTCTTCCATTTGCCAAGGCTCTTTTCTCTACCTACAACTCATTTCCTCCACATTTCTTCTTTCTGAAATCCTCTCTATGACCCAGCTCAGTAACCACTTCCTCTGTGAAGGATTCTCTGATCCTTCCCCAGCTGAAAGGGACTTCTTCCTTCTCAAATTTCTTATGGCACATAGTCTTAGACCAGCGGGTCTTAACCTGGGCACCCTCCTTAAATTCCTTATGGCACATTGTCTTAAATTAAGGGTTCTTAAACTGGGTATCCATGTATTTGTTTGTTTGCTTGTTTTTTATAACTGCATTCCAATTGCGTTTCCTTGGTAGTCCTATGTATTTTGATTGATTATTTTAAAAATCTTATTCTGAGAAGGGTTCCATTTCACCAGCCTGCCAAAAGGGCCCATGTCCCCCAAAAAATTAAGAAACTCTGGTCTTAGGTTTTTCCTTTGCTTTGAACCCTTCCCTCCCTTTTTTCCTTTTTTGGGGGTGGTAGCTTTTATCACTTTCTTCTTTGTCCCCTCTCAAACACAACGCATATCCCTCGAGGGCAGGGAATGGCATTGTCTCGCTAGTTTGGTGTCCTGGGCCTTGTCTAGCCTAGGTGCTTAGTAATTGTTAATGGCACAAATCAGTACCAACAGACCTTAAATGTAAATCCTCATTAAATTAAGATTTATGGTTTGTGATAAACATACTACTGGCATCACTGGAGCTCCACAGAGAGAGCAAGAAAGACTCAGGCCTAGGGTCAATCCCAACGTCAGCCTTCTCCATTCTGTCTAGGTAATACCGCAAAGAGAAACACTCACCAGAGGCAAAGCCTCTTCCTGGCATCTGTCCCTTGGGCCCAAGGAGCAGATCGATCTGAACATCAGCTCCAGCCAGAACACTGCTTTCTTTCTCCCTGGGATTTCTAGACATCTAGCAGAGTTTCTCAGCTGAGTCAGAAGCACAAATCCACTTGCCAGAGGCCTAGTGACACGAGCACGCCCTGCCTGAAGAGATCCTTAAAGCACGAATCAATCAGATGGTGTCTAGCATTGGTTTCTTCCCTAGATAGGAATTTAAAAAAAACAAAACAGCAGCAACAGGACAAAACTGCTCCCCCAGAACTCAGTGGCCTTCTCGAGGCTTGGGATTCTGAAGGGCCAACAACAGCACGAGGAACCTTTGCCCTCAGGTCTGCCCCTACTGGTTCTTCTTTTCCTTGAGCTCCTCCTTGGCGGACAAGCTTGTGTGCATCAGTGCCAGTCCACAGAAGATCATGATGACCCTGGCCCACCACATCACTGCACAGTATTCTCCATACAACAGGTAACCCAGGAAGGCCTAAAGGGGCAGAGGACACAGAGGAGGGAAAACATGAATGGAAAACACATTGATTTGGTTCCTCTTCTTCGGCAGCCCAGACAAACTGGTCTCAGTGCAGACGATTCCTTGTGAGCTAGTTTGCGGCCTGCTATGGAAGTGGGTTTTGTTAACCCAAGGTGATTTCATACCATGGGAGCCCTGAGGCTCCATCTTCTATCCCCTGTCTTTGCTTTTCTAACCCACCAGAAGACTCTTTGGGCAAACAGTACACCCTCTCCTTGCTACTCATCACAGGCTGAGCCCTGGGAAATAGAGGATGAATGTTGCTTTACATGCAGCTCATAGTTGGCAAAGGTTCGCTTAGGTATTGAGTGTGATGCCAGGTAGCACTGGGAAATGGGGACACAGGATCATGGATCTAAAGTCCAAAGGGACTTCAGCTGTTACTTAGTCTCATCGTTTCATTTTACAGATAAGAGACTGAGGCCCAAGAGAAACTAAGTGACTCTCCCACAGCCACACAAGTAGTGGCAGAACTGAGATTCAAACCCAGGTGCCGGGCCCTTTCTACTGCATGTGTAAGTCAAGTTACTACCATAACTGCCTCAGTTTCTTTCTCTGCACCTTCAGTTTCATTCTGTCCTACTGAGAATGAGCGATGAGTCAAATATATGGTCAGTACTAGCACTTTCATACATGCTCCCAAGTCTCAGAAGCAGAATTCCCAATGATGCAGCTGTGTTCTCTGCTAGACTGTGCAATCAATGAAGTGGTTTAGCCACAATTTCATTCTATTTTTCAGGCCCCCTTGTGGGCAGCCGTGCTAATTGCTCCATCAGACCCTCTGGGTTCTCAAAGACCTGTAGGTTCTCCCAAGCTGGAAAGGAAGGTCACGTGAGTTCCCATCCAAGGACCAGCCTCACTAGGTCTGCAGAGCCTCATGTTAGTCACACAAATACCTCCTCACGTGGGTAAGGCCTAAGTGTAGCTGGCCACGAGACCAGGGATTGTTTTCATAACAGTTCAAGCCAAGTCAAGAAGCATTTCTTGAGCACCTACTGCATGGTGCTAAGCACTTGGGATCCGAAGAAAGGCGAAACAAAACAAATGAACCCCAAAACACCATTAGTAAATGTTCTCAAGGAGCTCATGGAACAGCCTGCTAAAGGGGACAGGACTTAAGATATGCATCAGTGGGTAGTATGCCCACATTGATGGGTAGAAATCAGCAATCCTCAGAGAAGTTATAAAACCTTGTAAGTCTGACTGCATCTCAACAATCATGTACCATTTCGTTTTTTTCTTAATCCAAATCTGTGATTCCATTGGTATGGGAAGGTCTCAGTCTAGAAATTTCCTCTTCTGATGCATAATAATACTTCATCCAGAACAGTCTTGGGAAGTCACTGCTGAAACTGAGGTTAAATGATTTGCCCTTAGTCACACAGCTAGTCTATGACAAAGGGCAGGATCTGAATTTGTGATCTCCTACCAGCCCTTTCCCTTCCTTTCTCTTCTCTGGGTCTCCCTTGCTTCATAAAATGAGGAGGTTGGACTAAATGACCCTTACCATTCCTTCCAGGTCTAACTACTTCCTGGCTCCAGGACTGGCCCTCTCCTCTGTACATTACCCCCTGCCACCTCCTTGTTTTATATTTCACAGACCAAGAAATGGAGCTCAAGGAAATTAAGGGCTTTGTACAGGCCCCACTCCATAGGCTCTGGTCACTTACCTAGGCAATGATGTTAGAAGCAGTCATTGTCAGCGACACCCGTGGCAGAAGACGAAATACTTAGCACTTTGAAAAAGAAGGCCCACATGAGGGAGTTGCTGACAATCATCAAGGAAAAGGCCATCAGCCGGAACATCACGGTCAACTGCAGAACCTTACAGGTGTTTTTAGAACATTTTTACCAATGAGACACTGACGTAAAATAAGAGGGTCTCTGAAATCCCTTGTTCTAAGTCCCAAGACCCTAAGAATGGGCACTTCTATTCAGACACTTACACCGGGTCCAGAGAACTCTTAGGTATCCAGCAGGACAGGATGGGCAAGATACACCACTGAGAAGCAAGGTATTAGCGTCCAGCCTCAGGGAGCTGAAGGCCTCATAGGAGACTAAGGCATAAACACAACACTATCACACAAATCAGAACTGCAAATGAGATAATGTAAGTTGTTTTGCAAACCTTAAATAGCTATGTAAATATCCATAGTTATTATTCTACTGGTGGCAGGGACTACATTCCTTTCAGGTTTTTCTGAAGTCAGCCTGTTCATCATTTCTTACAGCACAATAGTATTCCATTATATTCATATACCACAGCTTGTTCAGCCATTCCTCTCAATTTCCAATTCTTTTCCTCGACAAAAACAGCTGCTATAAATATTTTTGTACATGTGGGTCCTTTTCCCATTTGTATGATCTTTTGGGGATATAGCCCTAGAAGTGCTATTACTGGGTCAATACCGTGATTCTACTGCAGAATCTTTGATCTTGGGAGGGAATGTAGTAAGGAGGAGCTGACATTCTATCTCAGACACAAGATTCTGCAGTAATTTGCATGGACAAAGTCACCTTTCCTTCCACAAACCTCTCCCACACAAAAGTCCAGTTTTTCTACTAGGAAGAGTTCAGAGTGATATGCCTCCCACTCTCAGCCATACTCCAAGGGGGAAATACGGAGGGATCTGCCCCTCTACCCAGGCAGTTCTACTCCGAGAAAGCACTAGAGGGGCGTCAGCCCCGCTTCCTCCCCAGAAGCAATTCTGCGATTCTGTAGAGGGCTCTGCCCAACCCCCATCCAATTCTGCTAGGGCCCCAGAGGTAGTCCCAGTTCTACTTGGATGGGGGCATGCACTGCAGAGGGCTCAGCCCCCGCCCCCTCCCCACCCAGCAATTCCATTCTGAAGGAGTGATGCAAAAGGGTTCTCCCCGGCCTCTTCTTCAGCCGCGGACCCCTCTCCCCAGACACCTTGCACCATAAGCCATCTGCTCTGCAGGGGGCACCTCCCTCCACCCTTCCCGGGCAGCACCCTGGACAGCGGGCTCCCCTGCTCTCCACAGCCCAGCACTTCTAGGCGCCCACCCACCGGCCCTGCCTGCCTGCCTGCCGGCCCGGCTCCGGCTCTTACCCAGGCCTGCGTGGCGGGCGGGTAAGGGAGCTCCTGCTCCTTTTCCTCCGGGCCCCACAACGTCGGTCGGCTTCAGGGCCAGCTTGGCAAAGGCGGCCGCGAAGGCGCCCAAGCCTCCGGCCGCGATGGACCAGAAGGCCGAGCCCCAGCGGAGCTGAGCCAGGGCGCTGGGCCCCAGAAGTGCCGCCATCGCCGCTGGCGCGGGCACCGGGAGCGGGAGCGGGAGCAGGAGCGCCAGCGGGGCTTGTGCCGGAGCCTTTGCCCGGTTCCCTGCCAGTGCTCAGCCTTCTGCGGCAAGCAAGCCCCCCACGCCGCCATAGGCTGCCTGCTTCACGTGACTCCTGCAGCACAGTGAGGAGCTCTGGTGAGCCCACCCTCCTAGGAGCCAGGCTCCTCCTCCCGCCCCGCCCCTGAGGCTCTGGGCTTGGGTGTGAAGGAGGAGGCAGGGGGGCTGCTCCTGTGAGGAGAGGCAGCCTCAGGGCTGGACTCAGGACCTATGCTGTGGGGAGCCTTAATCAACAACCACTCCAGGCACTATGCCCAGCAGGCTTCTGTTTGGTTTTGAGTCTTAGTCCGACTAGACAGTCTTTTCCTCCTCATTCATCCTCTTTAGCTGCCCAAACCATATTGCTAAGACAGGTCTGAGCACTTAACCACCTGCAAATGCTTCACAGGCTCCTTATTGCTCCTACATCAAACTAGATGTTCTCCTACTATTAGTCCCAAATGTCCTTCACAATCTGACCCTCCATAATGCCTTTCTTGATCCCACCGTCTACTACAGCTACTGATAAACTGAATTGGCACACAGGTGATTACTTCATATGTGAATTAATAAATATACAATTGCCATTTTAGAAAAGTTGCTAACCCCTTTGGTGGACGTGAAGGGACTTGCTAAAAAGCTGTGTCTGAGGAAGAATTTGAACCCTAATCTTTCTGTCTCTATGTGCAACATAATTTTGGGAAGGGTGGTAGTAGCAGTTGGCAGGAGAAGGGTGCAGAAAATCAGTAAATGCTTTATTCAGGTGTTGCTTGGACAAAATCTTGAAGGAAATCAGGGATTCCATGATGTGCAGGTGAAGCATTAAGATATTCTAGGCCTGTAGGATTTCCAATCTGAAGGCAATGGGGAAGGAAGTCAGTTCTGCCACAACACTTGTTTTGAAAAGACAAAAACACAGGCGATACATCAGAGCACAATTTAAAAAATTTTCATATTAGTCATGTTGTAAAGAATTAGAACCAATAGGAGGAACCACAAGAAAGAAGAAACAAAACAAAACAGAAGAAGAAAAAAGAGCAAATGGTATGCTTCGATCTGCATTCCAACTCCATAGTTCTTTCTCTGGATGTGGATAGCATTTTTCATCATGAGACTTTTGGAGATGTTTTAGATCCCTGCCTTGTTGAGAAGAGCTAAATCTATCAAAGTTAGTCATCTAATAACGTGGCCGTTACTGTGTACAACGTTCTCTTGGTTCTGCTCACATCACTCAGCATCAGTCCATACAAGTCTTTCCAGGTTTTTCTTGTAGTCTGCTTGCTCATCATTTCTTATAGCACAATAGTATTCCATTACATTCATATACCACAGCTTGTTCAGCCATTCCCCAATTGATGGGCAGCCCCTCAATTTCTAATTCTTGGCCCCCACAGAAAGAGCTGCTATCAATATTTTTTTACATGTGGGTCCTTTTCCCATTTGTATGATCTCTTTGGGATGCAGCCCTAGAAGTGCTATTGCTGGGTCAAAGGGTATGCAGAGTTTTGTAGCCCTTTGGGCATAGTTCCAAATTGCTCTCCAGAATGGTTGGATGAGATCAACCAACTCCACCAACAATGCATTCGTGTTCCAATTTTCCACATCTTCTCCAACATTTATCATTTTCCTGTTTTGTCAGGTTGGCCAATCTGATAGGTGTGATGTGGTACCTCAGAGATGTTTTGATTTGCATTTCTGTAGTCAATAGTGATTTAGAGCATTTTTTCATATGACTATAGATAGCTTTAATATCTTCCTCTAAAAATTGCCTGTTCATATCCTTTGACCATTTCTCAATTGGGGAATGACTTTTACTCTTATAAATTTGACTTAGTTCTCGATATATTTTAGAAAGTTCCCTTGCCTGTACTGAGGCAATTTGGGATCCTAGTGTGCTGGCCTGCTCCACCACCCTGGGGTTTAGGATCTCCCCCTGGTATGCTGAGGTGGGGCTTTTCACTAGCTTGCTGGGATGCCTCCCATTCTGTGCTGCTCCCCCTCCCCCAGAGTGAGAGGAACCTTTCCCTCATTAATCCCCCAAGCTTCCTGGGCTACAAGACTGCTGGTTCAGCTTTTCTAGGGTTTTTCCTGGGGATGTTTTCTGGGCTTTCAGAGGTCAATAAGGGAGGGTGAGAGTAACTTACTTCTTACTCCCCCATCTTCCATCAGGGCACAATTTGAGCATAATTCAAATTTCTCATTTACTTATACAGTCAATAAATATCAGCACCTACTATGTGCTAAGCACCAACTTAAGTGCGGGGAAATATAAAAAGAGGCAAACAAAATGACAATGAGCCACACCCATTCACAGCTGAGGTTACTGATACACTTCTTTCTACCACTCCACAGTAACACAAGTTACAACCCTTCTGACACCACTTTACAAGCAAACTTTGGGTGTTTTTCAAGGCTAAGAACCCTACTTATTGGATATTTTCTGGTGAAGTGGAGTTGCGGGTGGCAGAGGACTGGGCTGACCTTCCCCTCCTCCAAGGCATCCTGGAGTTGCAGCCCTAGGGCTGCTGTTCTCTCCCACACACACCAACTGTGCCCACTGAGGCCCCCTTGAGAACCAGGATGCAGGTAAGCAGCAACCTGCGACAGCCTTACTACATATTATAAAATTTAGGTATTTCTTAACTATTTAACACATCTAAGACTGTGCTACTGCTTTTATTAGGTTCCTGCTTTTTATGTGTCACTCACAAAGTATTGGAATATGGTCCCTAACTCCACTTTTCCTTTAAGCTTTGTTTTCTATTGTGGAATGTGATTTTTAGGAATGTCTATGTCTATTACAGCAGAACTGACTGTAGTTTGTATTATGGCTGCAAATGTTGAAGCCAGGTTTTGAAAAATCATTGAATGTCAGGAAATTATATTTGATTCTAGAGGCAACAGGGAACAAATAGGGCTGTGACATGGCCAGAAGTCGGCTTTAGGAAAATCACTTTAAAGAGTTATAGGAAGAGCAAAGAGACCTAACACAGGTAGACCAATCAGCTGATTGCTATTTGAATAGAAAGGGAGGAATGTGAGAGATACTGAAGAGGAGGAAATGAAAAGATTGGCAAATGACTGGATACATTGGGTGGGAGGGAGGCATCAAGGAAAAGGGTGCTGCCCTTGACAGAAACAGAGGGTTGGAAAAAGGGTGGGTTTGTAGTGGGGTAGGATGATTTCTCTTTTTAATATGCTGAGTTTGAGATGCTTGGGGGACTTCTAGTTCAAAACGTTCAAAAGGGAGCTGATGTTCAGGTGCAAGATGAGGGCAAGACATAGATCCCTGTGAAATCACCTGTGTATGGTGCTAAATATCGAGCTTACATGCATCTTGTAATTATTCCCAGCCATGGAAACTGTGTGTGCTTGAGAAATAAGAAGCATAACGATGAAATCCTTACAAAATCCCTTGATACAAACTTTATTTTCAATTCTAACCTGAGATTTCAGAACAGTTATCAACTAAAACACATAAAACAAACAAATGAGGAATTCACTGGTATCCTTTAAAGAAATATTTCATCATTCTTTTCTTCAGGTGCTAAAGGTAGATATACTTGTCCCCGTGCACCCCTTGGAAGAACTGAAAATTTACAGGTCCCTACAAGTATCTCTGAAAACAGCTGTACAAACCCCCGAAGCTTGGGACAATACATTCTCCACACTGGAAGCAGACTCTTACCTTAACAAAGAGTTTAAAACTCAAGTAATTGGCCAAGATCATGAGCAAGCAGAGCAAAAAGAGTTAGACCATAGAATCTTACTTTGGTGACAAAAGAAGATCAAAACATACAACCAGAAGAAGACAACAAAATCAAAGCTCCTACATCCAAAGCCTCCAACAAAATATGAATCAGTCCCAGGCCTTGAAAGAGCTCAAAAGGGATTTTGAGAAGCAAGTAAGAGAAGTAGAGGGAAAACTGGGAAGAGAAATGAGAGTGATGCAAACTATTTTATTCTCAGATAACTGAGAAAAGTACAAACATTTCCAATATCTTATTATGTTCTAGCAGATATACTTTTCTAGTACATAGTGCTAGAACAAGTATTTTCTGCTCAACAGACCACACAGTATTAAATATCTTGTCAAATTTTACAATAATGGCAAATGTGCCCAGTAACACCAAAGGAGTCTCTAAAAACAGAATATGATGCTAAAGAAAGTAATTAGAAAAGCTGCTTATGAACATTCATAAAACAAATACTATAGAAAAGAGCAGAGAAGAATAATGGCAAGAAATAAAGCTCAATAACACTGAGGCACACTGAGAGTGACTCCTACAAGCCACATATTGGGAGCCTCCAGGAAAAACGAAGAGCAATGGCAGCACCAGAATCCCCACATAAACCATGGTTACAGGCCTTCCTTCCTTTCTTTATTCATTCATTTATTTTATGTTTAAATTATTTTTAAAAATTTTTCTTTTTTTTATATAAATTTATTTATTTTTAGTTCTCAACATTCACTCCCACAAGTCTTTGAATTCCAAATTTTCACCCCATCTCCCCCCTCCCCCCACCCCAAGACGGCATGCACTCCAAACATCCCCTCCCCCAGTCTGTCCTCTCCTCCATCTCTCTCCCCTTTTCCCCTATACCCCTCTCCCTTCACCTTCCTGCAGGGCAGGATAGACCTCTGCACCCCACTTCCTGCACTTCCCACTTTGAAGTAGCATGTGAAAACACCTTCTTTCTAAACATATGTTTTTCAAACTTTAGGCTTCAAACCCTCTCTCTTCCTCCCTCCCCACCCACCCTCACTGAAAAGGCAAGCAACTCAATACAGGTTGTACATGTGTAGTTATGCAAAACACATCCATAGTAGACATGTTGTGAAAAACCAACTCTATTTCCCTTAACCCCATCCTGTCCTCCCATTTATTCTATTCTTTCTTTTGACCCCATCCCTCCTCAGAAGCATTTACTTCTGATTACCCCCTTTCCCAATCTGCCCTCCTCTCTATCATTCCCCCCCAACTCTCTTGTCCCCTTCTCCCCTTATTTTCCTGTAGGATAAGACAGAATTTCCATACCCAATTGAATGTGTATGTTATTCCCTCCTTAAGTCAAATCCTATGAGAACAAGATTCACTCATTCCCTCCTACCTTCCTGTTTCCCCTCCACTGTAAGAGACTTTTCTTTTTTGTGAGACAGTTTACCCCATTCTACCTCTCCCTTTCTTCTTCTCTGAGTATAATCCTCTCTCATCCCTTAATTTTGTTTTCCAGATATGACCCCTTAATCTTCAACTCACCCTGTGCCCTCTTTCTATCTATATATACATAATTTTTTTCCTCCAACTACCTTAATACAAAGGTCTCATGAGTTATAAATATCATCTTTCCATGCAGGAATGTAAACAGTTCAATCTTAACAAGTCTCTTATGATTTTTCTTTCCTGTTTACCTCTTCATGTTCCACTTGAGTCCTGTATTTGAAAGTCAAATTTTCTATTCAGCTCTGGTCTTTTCATCAAGAATGCTTGAAAGTCCTCTATTTCACTGAATGACCATTTTTTTCCCCTGAAGGATTATACTCAGTTTTGCTGGGTAGATGATTCTTGGTTGTATTCCTCTGTCCTTTGCCCTCCGGAATATTATATTTCATGCCCTGCAGTCCTTTAATGTAGAAGCTGCTAAATCTTGTGTTATCCTGATTGTGTTTCCACAGTACTTGAACTGTTTCCTTCTGGCAGCTTGTAATATTTTCTCCTTGACCTGGGAACTCTGGAATTTGGCTGTAATATTCCTAGGAGTTTTCCTTTGGGGATCTCTTTCAGGAGGAAATATGTGGATTCTTTCAATTTCCTTTTTGCCCTCTGGTTCTAAAATATCAGGGCAGTTTTCCTTGATAATTTCTTGAAAGATGATGTCTAGGCTCTTTTTTTGATCATGGCTTTCAGATAGTCCAATAATTTTTAAATTCTCTCTCCTGGATCTATTTTCCAGGTCAGTTGTTTTTCCAATGAGATATTTCACATTGTTTTCTAATTTTTCATTCTTTTGGATTTGTTCTACTGTGATGTCACTATCTTCCAATTGCTCTATCCTAATTTTTAAGGAAGTATTTTCTTCAGTAAGCTTTTGGACTTCCTTTTCCATTTGGCCAATTTTACTTTTTAGGGCATTCTTCTCCTCATTGGCTTTTCGGACCTTTTTTGGCCATTTGGGTTAGGCTATTTTTTAAGGTGTTATTTTCTTCAGTATTTTTTTGGGTCTCCTTTAGTAAGCTGTTGACTTGTTTTTCATGATTTTCTTGTATCACTCTCATTTCTCTTCATAGTTTTTCCTCTACTTCCCTTACTTGCTTCTCAAAATCCCTTTTGAGCTCTTCCAAGGCCTGGACTGATTCACATTTTTCTTGGAGGCTTTGGATGTAGGAGCTTTGACTTTATTGTCTTCTTCTGGTTGTATATTTTGATCTTCTTTTTCACCAAAGTAAGATTCTATGGTCTGACTCTTTTTGCACTGCTTGCTCATGATCCTGGCCAATTACTTGAGTTTTAAACTCTTTGTTAAGGTAAGAGTCTGCTTCCAGTGTGGAGAATGTATTGTCCCAAGCTTCAGGGGTTTGTATAGCTGTTTTCAGAGATACTTGTAGGGACCTGTAAATTTTCAGTTCTACCAAGGTGGTATGATAAGGGGCGAGGTGTTTACTCCTTTCCTGGCCTGTGACCACAAGTATTTCTTTCTGTTCTGTAACTGTGAGGAAGGGTTCCTTTCCACAGCCACTCCAAGTTCCACCACGCCAGTGTTCCTCCTAACCCCAGCACCGCTGCCTGGAACTGTGACCCAGAACCACACACGGGCAAAGCAAGAGATTCCTGCCTCAGCACTGGCAAAGAGATCCCTGCAGTCCCTCTCTGATCAGCCACTGGATTCCCCCTTAGTCTGTGGGTCAGAAGCTTGGGAAGCAGCTGCCCCCCCCCCCCCCGGGCCACACTGTTGGGGAATGGAGCTGAAACCCCACCTTCCTGTCACAGCACAGACAGAAACAGACTTTTCCCACTGACCTTCTAAGTTGTCTTTGGCATTCGTGGATTGAGGAGTCTGGAAACCTCCACAGCTGTCCATGATTCAGTCCTCTGAGGCCAGCTCCAGGTTCGCTGCGGCCTGCGTGCCCACACTGCGTGCTCCCAGCCCGGTGCGATACACCTTTCTGATCAATCACCCAGGTTGTCTTGGGCTGGAAATTTGTTTCACTCTGTCTTTTTGTGGGTTCTGCTGCTTCAGAATTTGTTTGGAGCCATTTTTTATGAGTATTTGGAGGGGTTTGGAGGACAGCTCAAGCAAGTCAGTGCTTTCACTCCCACCATCTTGGCTCCACCCCCTCCATGTTTTATTTTCAAAACAGAACAGAACACAACAAAACACAAACAAACAAACAAACCAAAGGAATGAACCAATTGTCTTTAGCATTTTCAGTGGGAAGGTCTTTTCCAGGAACCTTGAGCTGTGGGAATTGGAATGACATCAGAAGGCTGTTCATTATAGGGAGACAAAATGCTCCATTAGACTTTGAGCTGCTACTTCCATTTTTTTAATGGCAAAGGAAACAGACTCCTCAACCAGCACTGACTTTTGTCGAGATTCTAGTCAAGTCCCGCAAAAGTCCTATTTTCTGCTTCCTTTTAAGTAGACATTTTCGACACGTAATTTTTTAACTTCCTAGAAAGAAGAGAACAAAAAATAAAGCTCTAATTTTCATAGAATTACATACATTTCTGGCATCATTAAATTCAAAATATTAAATTAGGATCACCAAAACTTCTAGTTTTTTAAACTACTTGTTAGTACAACTAAAGTTAAAAGCTATGATACCTAATAAAGTTATGATACCTAAATAAATTAGACAGGAGGCATATTTGTTGTACAGTATGGCAATAATAATAATAATAATAATGAAACTTAACATATTTTTAAATGCCTTGAAGTGAGTGAATTTTTTTAGTCTATGTCAGTTCAATAACAGAATTCTGATCAATTTTAAACACTTATGAAAATCAGTGTATTAATCATTTCAACATTCAAACATACCTCAGTGAGGCGAGCATTGTCTTTCTTCAGTTTCACCAGGTACTGAATCTTCTGCTTTGGATCTGTGTGACCTACTAGTTTTCCATTTTCTTCCACAAGAAACTCCACTTGCTTTCTTAGTATGCTAGTCTCCTGCAGTGAAAGCAGCAAACATGAGAAGTGATTTTTGTCCTGTTATTTCTGCTTCTAGAGTACCCCGAGTCTCATTTCACTGGCAGAAGACAGCAGAGCACATACACCTGATGCACAAAATAAGGGTAAGGTCCTCTCTAATCATGAGGCTTGATTTATTACAAGTGCTGCAGCAATTTCTAAGCATAGAAAAATGAACATAATAAACAGAGACTTTTGCACAGATTAGTTCTACGAATACAAGTGGTCCAGACAACACCGAAGCAAACAAACTCAAACCTGTAAGATTCTGTTCTTTTCTTCATAGAGTTCTTCCAGCTTGGATCTCAACTGCTCCTTCTCCCAGAAGGCTTTTGATTCCAGAGCTCTTGTTCACTCCACTTCTTCTATCATTTTAAGCCAGTCTATCTCTTTCCCTGTAAGGGCATCTTTGACTTCTTTCAATCTAAAGAGACAAATGTGATTTTATGGGTAGGTGTGATGTTAGAAACATTAAACGGTCTTCACATGTGTGAGTTCCTCTCGAAGGTCTAAACCTCGAAGAGGTTTATATTGAGCCAATCACAAGGAATGTACGTGGAAAATCCTTGCTTACTTCAGGCATCTGGGATCTCATTGGTAACTCCTCTATATATAACTTAATAAAATATATTCATGAACTGTCATGGCTGAAAAAAATATCATTATGATCGTTCAAAGATCTGCTGATGACCTGGATACATGCAGCTGGACTGGTCCTTAATCAGAGTTAATGACTAGGCCTAGGCCTGACTGAGCTTTTAAGGCTTGGAAGAAGTGAGAGTTTACAATATTCTACTGGAATATTCTCCAGTAATCCACTATCACCTCCATGTGCACTGTAAGCACCTCATAAATGCTCACTCCATCAGTCCACACCAAGATAAGTAGGCTTTATTAGTACAAGTTCCTTTTTTTAATAGCAAAAATCACCCCTAACCTGTAAAACATAAAATGTTTAGTGGCCACATTAACTTGTTTACCTGATCTTTGAGTTTATCCCTTGCTGGACACAAGAGGATTTCTAATTGGCAACAGAAATCCCATGTGGTGTCAGTCTAGTCAGAAACAACACAGAGAAGCAAAACCCCACCATCTCCACTGTTACAAGTGGTGCAATACTGTCAATGCCCTGAACAAAAAAAAAGGGCCAATTTCTATGAGGCAGACAATATTCAAAATGAGACCTGGGGCAGGAGAAAGCTGGTCCATGGTTCTTTTAGGCTCTGCTGCTCACAGTAATTCTGTAAGCCATATAAAACACAGAGCTAGACTTTCTCATTGGATGCATAGGATTTTTCGTTCTGTCAGGTTAAATAATAAATAGCTCTGCTGGCATTTAAGAAAGGTGTAGACCAGCAGACAGTTATTCTATACATTTTGTGCTAATATGTTCTAAATCACAGGATTTCAAGCCTTAGACATCCTCTAGTCCAGGTTAGGAAATGAAGGCCCAAAGAAGTAAATCACTTAATGCCAAGTAGGAGTGAGTGCATTCTAGTCTACAAAAGGACATTCTAGGGGCACTTGCTGAAGAAGTTCAGGCTTCCTCCCTCCCCCAAATTTATCTTACCCATAGCAGCCAGAGAAGTCTTAGTACTGAATGCTGGCCAGGATACACAAAAACTGGAATTCTGTGAAACTATAATTGAAGATAATGAGAATTCACACACCACCGAGGCCATGGGTGCTCTAGAGAAGGGGTGTCACACTCAAACAGAAATGGGAGTCACCAGATCATACATACGGATCCCTTTGGGCTGTATATTGAATTAGAAAACCACATATAAACATTATCTATGTTTAAATGTAGTCTTTTACTTGGTTAAATATTCCCCAATTACATTTTCATCAGGTTCTGGTGTGCTGCATGTCTGACACCTCTGGTCTACAGGAAACCTTTCCAATAGTAACCTAATTTATAATGTAATTTGAAGGCACAGGAACAGGTGAGGGGGCAGGAGTGAAAAGGAGGTTAAGACACAAGGGCTACAGAAAGGCATTTGATAGCTGACGAAAAGTATTCCTTTAGAATCAAAAAATCATCTTTATTACCAACATTGATAAGTCAACTTTAGCAACAGTTTGACTTCAATTTTTCTGAATACAAAAAGCAAGTGAATGAAGATACAATACTTCCTCAAGCTTTTAAAACACTGATCAACAATTTTTCTGTTTTTGACTAATTGGATATTGAATTTGTAGTCTTTCTGACTAGTAAAAACAGGAAACCCCCCCCCCCACACACACACATTGGTATATACTGCTGTGGTATTATTGTACAAGAATATTACATAAAATATATATGTAACATAAATATGTAACTACACATGTATAATTATGCAATAATCCTCTTTAGTCATTTAGGAAGTTATTTTATGTTATAAAATCTGAGATTTTATTACACAAAAAAGTTGCAGTAGTGCCAAACGTTATTAACCTAACAAATGCTTCCTCCTTTATGATTGGAGAATGAAAATAAGCCTGGAGAATGAAAATAAGCCAAGATTTAGAAGAATTAAAATTTAAAAACATGAAATAATATTTAACTTACTCTGCTTTCATTTTCAGCATTTCTTCTACTGCTTTATCCTGTAGAAGACCAAAATGGAAACATTACTTTGGTTAAGTTTCTAAAGATTTGTTTAAAATAAATTTTTTTGAAAAAGACAGTCTAACTTGTCCCCAATAGTGAAAATGAAACCAACAGTCTTTGCGCTGTTACATGCTATCATATACTGAGGGCATACTAAAATTAACAATGCTATTTACCTACAGGAAGATGAAAAATAGCAAGTAATTTAATGATCATTTCCTTATTCTATTTGCTCCCTTCTCTTTCTGATCATGCCCTGGTTGCAACTTGTCTCCCCCATGAGAACAGGGGCTCCTGAAGGAAGGAGCTGGTTTTGCTTTTCTTTGTAGTCTTAGTGCTTAGCACAGGACCTTGCATGTATTAAATGCTTAAAAAATATTCAATTCTTGAATGATTCCAAAAGAAATAGTAAATTTTCACTTCAAAAACTTGGAACTCACAGAATGTAGAGTTGAAAGAGCTCTCTGTGGCTATCTAGTCCAACCTATACTTCAAAAAGAATCTCATGCAACATGTCCAACAACCCTCTTTTATTGTTGTGATCATTGTGAATGTTAGTGGCTTGTTTATAATCAAGACAACACCCAAATTTTAAATGGCCTGAAATTACTACTATATCATATCTAAAAAGTAGTACCAAGAAAAAGAAGATATTTTAATCATAACCATAAAATTATAGATAAGGAAAGGGAAATGGCTTCAAGCCCACTAGTCCACCTCTTGGACATATTATGAGTTGTGCCAATAATACTTTCCCAACAAAAGGCCATCCAGGGCAGCTAGGTGGTGCAATGGAATAGAGCACCGGCACTGGATTCAGGAGGACCCGAGTTCAAATCCAGCCTCAGACACATAACACTTACTAGCTGTGTGACCCTGGGCAAGTCACTTAACCCCATTGCCTAGCCAAAACAAACCAAACCAAACAAACAAACAAAAAACAACCCCAAAAGCCATCCATCCAGCCTCGTCTGAAGGTCTTCAGGGGTTATCCCTTTGCTGTCCATGAGGTAGGCCATTTCATCTGGGGGCACCTCTAAGTAGGTTGAGACAGGTCTGCCCCTGTAAGCTTTGCTCTTCTACACTGTACCCTCTAGGACAAGAATCAGCTCCTTTACATGACATCATTCAAATCTTTGAAGACTGCTAACTGTGCTCCACCTCTCTCTCCTTGTGCTTCTCTTCTCCAGGCTGAATATCTGTAGTTCCTTCAGCTGATCCTTGCATGATGGCATGGCTTCAAGTCCATATCCTAGCTGTCTTCCTCTGGATGCCCTCTACTTTATATTTGTCCCTTATGAAATGTGGGTTCCACAAGCAGACATAACATCCCCAGTGAGGTCACAGCAGAGTAGAATATGGCAAGATAATGCCCTACTTCATTCTGGATCTTACTGTCTATTACTGAAGTAATTTTATGTATCTATATTACTGCTGTTTAAGACTGGATTGGGTTTTATTCTACATCATGCTGTTAGGATTGTACTATATAACATACTATTAGGATCCACTATGCTTCTTCCACAAGAAGTCATTTCCAGCTCTCTCTGCTATTGTCCCATATTTCTGCAGTTAATATTAGAGACCAGGTGTGGGTGGAATGAAAATGGAGTTCATCAAAGGCTTTTTTTTAAGAGTTAGCATTTGGTAATTTAATATGCAGGAAGAATAACTTTCTAACACTAAGTGAAAACACCAAAAATGTTTACCTAAATGAGAAAGGAGATTTTGGATTTTTTTTTCCCTCTGTCTTAAAAAGACCAGGAATATACCTTAGCGAGTCTTTCTTCAGCAATTGCCTTTTCTTGTTCTTTTTTTAGCTGATGAATATCTGGATATTCTTGATCACTATATAAAGAAAACAACAAAAAATACTGAAAAAAATTTACAAAGTATAATTTTATATACTTCCCAAAATCAAAATTGCATGGCAGTCAATCATTAAGACCATCATTAACAATTTTATGGGTGGTGGGATTGGGGGTGGGGGAGAGAGAAAATCTTGACCCATGGTTGGTGTGGGGATTCTCTGGTATTCAAAATTCCTCATAAAGGCAGATGAACAACTCATCTGTGACTTGTAGTCTAACCAAGTTGCCAGCACACTGAGAGGTTAAGTGATTGGTCTATGGTCATACAACATGTATACAAAGGGGAAGAACTGGAATTCATGTGTTCCTGACTCCAAAGCCAGCTCCTCTACTTAATACATTATACTGTCACATATTAATAACTAAATTTAAAACTCATACTAACAGTAAATATGTTTCAATAATTTCCAAGTACCACCAAGAAAGCACTCACTAAAATAATTTTGGAAACTGCTAAACCTTATCAACTACTGCTCATAGGCAAGAGAATTAAAGTTTCCTGTAAAAAAAAAAACCTTCATTCTTTAAATAAGCACAGGCAGCAAGCAAGTAGACTAGAGGTTTTATATGCTTTTTCTTACCTGCCTTTCTTTTGCTTAACATCATCAAGTTGGCTTTGCAGGCTTTGATTGGTCTCTGTTAATTGCTGAAGTTCTAAGCGTGTGTTTTCTAATTCACATAACTGCTCCTAGAGATATATAAACACACCTTTCAGGCGAAGCCAAGATGGCACGTTAGGTGTAGCTACCCAGGAGAACTCTCCCAACAGTGACCGTCAAATAACTTTAAAATAATGCCTCAAATCAAATTTTGGAGTGGCAGAGCCAACAAAAAGTTGGGATGAAATATTTTCATGGCCTGAGAAAACTTAAGAGGTAGGCAGGCAAGAGAAGTCTGTAACACCTGGATGGAGGTCTGTCCAGAGCTTACACATGCGACTGAAGCAGCAGTAGCTTCAGAAGCTCGCAGCCCAGAGACAGTAAAGGGTTGGAGGACTGATCAGAAAGAGATTACAAGGGATCCTTTGCTGGCACTGGGCACAACTGACATTAATCGGTAACTATTGCCCATATGCAGTTCTAGGCTGCAGTTCCAGGGCAGAGGAGAGCTGATGGTCAGTTACAAAGGAGCAGTGGTTCTGCTTACAATGCCAAAGCTAAGAGAAGCACCAGCATGTGCAGCTGCAGGAGACTAGGGACCCTTCCTTGGTAAAGGTCACAGCAAGAGCAGTGACCATACCTCTCCCAGGATCACACCATTTTGGAAGCACCAAAAACTTGCAGAACCCCAGCACAAACTCTGAAAACAGCAGCACGAAAAATCCTGACACTTAGGACAATGTCTCCTATCCCTCAACAAGCAGCAGGGCCCAACTTTATAAAGTTCCGAATCAGGAAATAGGCTGGAAAATGATCAAGTAATTTAGAAAGAATTTGACCATAAAAAGTTACTATGGTGGCAGGGAAGACCAAGACAGAAACTTAGAAGAAGGTAACAGTGTGAAAACAGCTACCAAAAAACCTCAAAGAAAACTGCTAATTGGCCCAAGCCCAACAAGAATTCCTGGAAGAGTTAAAGAACAGGCTAAGAGTGATAGAGGAAAAGTTGGGAAAAAGAATGAGGGATGCAAGAAACTTAAGAGAATTAATGGCTTGGTAAAAGAGGCACAGAAAGATACCAAAGAAAATACCTTAAAAAACAAAACTTAACCTAATGGCAAAAGAGGCATAAAAATTCAACAAAGAAAACAACTCTTTAAAAAGCAGAATAGGTCAAACAGAAAAGGAGGTACAAAAATTCACTGAAGAAAACAATTCCTTAAAAATTAGAATTGTGCAAGTGGAAACTAATGACTCTATGAGACATCAAGAAAAAATAAAACAGTCAAAAGAATGAAAAATTAGAAGAAAACATGAAATATCTCATCGGAAAAACAAGTGACATGGAAAATAAATCAAGGAGAGATAATTTAAAAATTACTGGACTACTGGAAAGCTGTGACCAAAGAAAGAGCCTGGACATTATATTTTGAGAAATTATCAAGGAAAACTACCACAATATCTTTTGAGGGTAGAATAGAAATTGAAGGAATCCACTAATCGCTTCCTGGAAGAGAACCCAAAATGAAAATTCCCAGGAATACTATAGCCAAATTCCAGAGCTCCCTAGTCAAAGAGAAAATGCTTCAAAAGCAGCCTGAAAGGAACAATTCAAACGTTATGCAGCCACAGTCAGGATCACATTAGATTTAGCAGAGGGTTGAGAATATATTCTGGGAGAAGGGCAGCTAGGTAGCACAGTGGATAGAGCACCAACCCTGAAGTCAGGAGGACCCGAGTTCAAACCCAGCCTCAGACCAAACACTTGACACTTACTAGCTGTGTGACCCTGGGCAAGTCACTTAACCCCAATTGCCTAAAACAAACAAATAAATAAATAAATGAACAAACAAACACATAAATAAGAATATATTCTGGGAGGTAAAAGTGCTAAGATTAGAACCAAGAATAACTTATCAGCAAAACTAAATATAATCCTTCAGAGGAAAAAAAATAAATACTTAACGAAACAGAGGACTTCGAAGCATTCCTGGTGAAAAGACCAGAGCCGAGGAGGAAATCTGACATTCAAATAGAAGACTCAAGAGAAGCATAAAAATGTAAACATGAAAGAGTAATCATAAGAGGGTCAATAAAGTTAAACTGTTTACCTTCTTACATGGGAAGATAATAAATGTAACTCCTAAGAATTTTATCATTATTAGGGCAATTAAAGGGAGTTTACATAGAGGGCATGGGTGTGAGCTGATTATGTTGGAATGATTGTCAATAAAAATGAGATGGTGAGAAAGAGGGATATACTGGGAGAAGGGGGAAGGGAGAGGCAGAATGGGGAAAATCTTCTCACAGAAAAGAGGCATGCAAAGAAGAACTTTTACAATGGAGGGAAGAATGGGAGAGTGGTGGTAGTGGTGGCAGGCAATGCACAAACCTCACTTTTATTATAATTGGTTCAAAGAGGGAAAACACTACACACATGTGCAAGCATGTGCACACACATGCATGCATGTGGACACATGCGCACGTGCACAGGATTGTGTATAGAAATGTAACTTGTTCAACAGGAAAAAAGGAAGGGAAGGGGATAAGAGAAAGGAGTGAGGGACGATAAAAGTGAGGCTGGATTAAGGGAGGCAGTGGTTAGAAGCAAAAGAGTGTCGAGGAGGGACAGGATAAAGAGAAAGAAAGAAGACAAAACAAAGGATTTGTTTGGGATAGAGGGAATGAGACAGATGGAAATACACAGCAATCAAACCTGTAAATATGAATGGGATGAGCTCACTCATCAAACAGAAACTAATAGCATAATGGATCAGAAACCAGAATCCAACAATGAAGTTTACAAGAGACACACCTGAAACACAAAGATACATAGAGAGCTAAAATAAAGGGCTGGAGCAGAAGCTAATAAGCTTCAGCTGAAGTGAAAAAAAAAAAAGGCAGGGGTAGCAATCATAATCTCAGACAAAGCAAAAGCAAAAACAGCCCTAATTAAAATAATCAGGGAAACTACATTTTGTTAAAAGGTACCATAGACAGTTTAGTAATATTAAAAATTTTTACAGCAAGTTTCTCTGATAAAGACCTCATTTCTCAGATATATACTGAGTATACAACTGTGTTAAATTCATAAAAATAAGAGCCATGTCCCAATTGATAAATGATCAGAGGATATGAACAGGTAGTTTTTGGAAGAAGAAATCAAAACTATCTATATGCTCTAAGTCACTACTGATTAAAGGCAAAGTAAAAAAACTTTGAGGCACCACCTCACACCTATTAGAAATGACAAATGCTGGAGGGGATGAGGGAAAACAGGTACACTAATGAAGTGGAGTAGGGAACTGGGTCAACTATTCTGGAGAACAATTTGGAACCATGCCCAAAGGGCCTGAATACCCTTTTGACCCAGCAATACCATGACTATCTGTATCCCAAAGAGATTACCGAAAAAGGAAAAGGACCTATGTATATACAAAAATATTTATAGCAGCTCTTTTTTGGTGGCAAAAAATTGGAAATCAAGAGGAGGGGAATCAATTGGGGAATGGCTGAATAAGTTGTAGCATATGATTGTGATGGAGTACTATTCTGCTTCATAAGAAATGAAGAGGGAGGTGGCTATAGAAAAATGTGGTAAGACCTGTATGAACTGATGCAAAAAGTGAAGTGAGAAGAACCAGGAGATCATGGTGCACAATAACAGCAACGTGGCAATGGTGATCAACTGTGAAAGACTTGGCTACTCTGATCAGTACAATGATCCAAGACAATTCCAAAGGTCTCAGAGAGAATAATGCCATCCACCTCCACAGAGAAAAATGATGAACTCCGAGTGCAAACTGAGGTACACTTTTATCACTTTAAAAATTTTGCTTGCTTTTTTTTTGGAAATATGTTTTGCATGATTTCAGTGTGTAACTGGTATCATATTGCTGTCTTCTCAGTGGATGGGGAGGGTGTGGGAGGGAGGGAGAGAGCCTGGAACACAAAATTCAAGAAGAAAAAAATATTAAAAATAAATGGTAATAAAAAGAACCATGCCTTTCAGCACAGATTTTTACTTCTGTTTACAGGAACATCTGATAAATTAATTAATAATCCATTCCTGAGAGCCAAATATGTAATTTTGAACATCATGGGAAAATATAAAATAAGCGTTAGACCCATTCCCCATTCTAGCTAGTTGAAACAACTTGAGAACAAAGCAACATTGAACAGGTGCATAAAGAATTACCTTCCCTTTTTTCTTCAGGCCTTACTTGTTATTTCACTGGGACAGAGAACTTCAACAAGGAAACTCTCTTTAGCAAGGCATATTGGCAACTGCTTTGCAATTTATAGTTCTAAAAAACTGCCGGGGGTACTGACAGGTTACGTTTCAGAGGTGGGACTCCAAGGCTGCCCTTTGTCCACATGCCCTGCTGCCTCTCACAGACAATTCATCGTGACCCAAGGCAGGGTCTCATTTAACTGCTCTCACTCATCTGCTTCGATTGTAAGCTCCTTAAGGGCAGGGATTTTGTTGTTTCTTATCTTTTTATTCCCTAGAGTTAGCACAGTATCTTGCTCACAGGAGGCACTTAACGAATGTTCGTGGAACCGAAAAAAATAACAAAAAGCATTATGGTATTCTACATTTTCTCAAACCTATCATCTTCACCCCACTGTCAATTCTTTTTTGGCTAGGCAATGGGGTTAGGTGACTTGCCCGGGGTCACATAGCTAGTAAGTGTCGAGTGTCTGAGGCCACATTTGAACTCAGGTCCTCCTGACTCCAGGGCTGGTGCTGTATCCACTGTGCCACCTAGCTGTCCCTTCCCAGCCTCAATTCTTAAGGGGCACCCAAAAATGACACATTTTATAACACAGACCATTAATACCATGAACCACTAGTCTCGATGTATTTTCATTTCTTATGAATATTTCATTATCAATAGCCCAATAACCTTTTTTACTTTTAATTTTGACAAGCAGAATGCTACTGGACTGCTACAGGAAGCCAAGGAATCCTCTGCACACCCAGCAAACATATATAACTTGGGCATTTATCACTGCTCAATCATCCTCTAAAATTTTTATTCCAAACCTTTTAAGATCATCTCTCTTACTAGATGATCTTGCCTATTTTATCAAAAGAAGCATCTAGCGCAAGCTCCCCCAACTCCCCTCTTCGCTATCTTAAAACTTTAGGCCTGTTCCCATTCTTGCCTCTTTCTCTCTCACTCCAGGGAATGAGTGGGTCTCTTCCTTGCCAAAGCTCAAATCCTTGCTCCGACTGCCTCCCTTTGGCATCTTATTCAAACAACCACAACCAGGCCCCAACCACATCTTTAGTCTCTTCTAGTCCCTTGCCTACAGGGATGCTCAGGTCTCCAATATTCTAAAAACAAACCTTTTCTCTTAATCCAGTTAGCCCCTGGAGCTGGTATCCAGACTTTCCTAATTCACTACCAACTCAACTTCTTGCAATCTGGCTTTTGCCTCCATTGTTCTATGGAAACTGCTCTCTGCAGAGTCACTGGGTACCTCCACATTTCCCAATCACAAGGCCCTTTCTGAGTTCTCATCTTCATAGTAGTTGATACAATCAGCACCCCATTCTTGACACAGGAAAAGCATCATCACCTTCTTGGGGTGATACTCAAACCCTCACAGGGTTGTAAATATGAAGCACTATAGAAAATCAAATTGCTCTTCTGCCCTCCATGAATGGCCCACGTGCTGTTTAACAGGAAAGGACAAGTTCCTTCATTCTAAGGATTTCAATGTTTTTGACATCTCTTTCTTCATTCAATTTTGTTACAAGATGCTGTAAGGAGATGGTGGAAGCTCTTCTGTCTTGTATTTCTTGTTCTTGTGTTTCTAGGAGCTTTGCCAGATTTGTCTGAAAACTAGATGGAGTTGTAGGACTCTGCAAGATATAGTAGACTTTTAATTCTTCGTTTTAGTGATTTTAACAAAAATTTAATTTTAACTACATTAGCACCACGTATCTGAAAATGCTTATTGGTTATTGTCTTCCACTCAAAAATCTAGAGTTTGTTCTATCAGCCAAAAGGTACACACAGAAAGAATACCTCCATTACTAATGATATATGTTATTTCAAAGTTTGTGAAACATTTTATAAACATTATTTCATTTTAGCCTCATATCAACCCTGCAAGCAATTTCTACAGGTATTACTACTCTCACTTTACAGATGAAGAAACTAAAGGTGAAGGAGGTTAAGTGACTTTCCCACTAGCACATAGCCGACTGTCAGGAAGCAGGATTTCATACCGAGGTTGTCTCTGAATCCAGCCAGCACTTTTCTGTACTGTCTCTTAATTGTATTTAGACACTTTAAAAAGATATTTTCTAGCTATAATTTTTTTTTTTTGGCTAGGCAATGGGGTTAAGTAACTTGCCCAGGGTCACAAAGCTTCTGAGTGCTATGCGTCTGAAGCCATATTTGAATGCAGGTCTTCCTGAATCCAGGGCCAGTGAGCCTTCTAGCTGCCCCCTCGCTATAATTTTCAAATGGGCACTTTGATATGTCTGAAGCTGGTATCTCTGCTTGGAAACAGACCTGTTGTTCTAAAAGTACCTGTGGAAACACAGAAGCAGAATCCATCATACATTCTAGGTATCTCATTTTCAAACTATATGCATTCTTCTGTTGTTCCAGTTCTTCAACTTTCTGGCTTAGCTATGAAAACAAAATAAAATGTTAACTTTGAAAATAATACAGGATTCATGTCCACAAAGAAAATGCAAGCTTTTCAGAGGATGTGAAAATTCTTCTGGTTTGAACATTTCACAATTTGAAATAGAACAAAATATCAAATACCCACATTTTCCCTCAAAAGTCCAAAATCCTACTAGAGTTGCTGCTCCTACCACATGGCTTATTCCAATCACAATGTTAACTGAAATAATGTTTTTTCCCCCCTTAACCTTGTTACCATCCACTAAACCTTTTATCTACTCATTGAGATATGTGATGCATTTCTAATAACCTATTTTTAGTGAGAACAAATTTGTCTTTATATTAGAAGACAGCTATGTTCCCAAAGATTCAAAATTCAACATTCTCCAATTTCATTTAATAATTTTCTGCAAATTATCTAAAAGGCTAGCATGTCCCTGAGGCTTATGTGGATGAGCCAAATTTAAATGATTAGTTCATTTCGAATTCTTATAGTGATAGCCTCAATCTAAGTCTACCTGCTCCTGAAGTTCTTGGATGAAAGCTTCTTTCTTGGCAAGCTCTTTCTGGGCAGACTTAAGCAACACAGAATGCTGCTTAGAGGCTTCTGTTAATTTGTCTAGCTGGTCAGTGGCTAGAACCAGATCTTCACACAACTTGTCTCTCTCTGTTAGAATACGATAGTCCCCAACCCCAAAGAAAAAATGCAATGTTATTTATGAAAACATGATGAGGATTCAATAATCATTACTTTATATATTCAATTCAAAAAGCTAAAATTAAATGTCACCCTAAACTTTTCTTTAATTTTTAATTGCTGTCTTTCATTTTAAAACCATTTTATTTCTTAATACATCCCTCCCCACTTCCGTTGTCGGAGTGCTACCCCATGTAACAGAGAATAAAAAAGAAAGAGGAAAAACTAAACAATACATAGATTGAATCTGGTAGTATATACAATGTCCCATACCCATAGCCCTGCATCTGTGTTTTCTCATCTCTTCCTCATAGACAAGACTGGTTAATATAATTACACAGCATTCAGTTTCTTTTAAAAAAATATTAATTATCAACTTTAAAAAAAGTTTTAAAGCCACAGTCACAAAACCAAAACTAAGCTAATGGAGAAGAGAAGGAATGCCTAATTCTTGCAGGTTAATGTCTAGAGAAGCAATGGCAGGACAAGGAGCACCTAGGGTGGGCCAAGTGATGTCACCAGCTGTACCTCTGCTTTCTCATTTTTTAAAGCTCTCCTTTAAAAAAATGTGATCAAGGGCTCTGACAGGAGCTTGAACTCCAAAATGACTGGGCGGCACTTAATTTGGGGCTTTTCTCCTTCTGTGAGGATGCATGAACCCACCTAGTGAGGCCAAATTGCCTTCCAAAATGGCAATCTGCTCTGGAACCCAGGGTCAAAAGAGCCAAGTTTCATAGGTCTGAGGTAGTACAGAAGGAATGTTTGCTTAAAATCCAGTACAACTCTCTCCTACCTAAAATCAAGGAACATTTTCATTTTCTTGGCATTACTTAAGGCACTTCAGACAGTCAATATGTATGGAGTGAATGCTTACTACATGCACGGCACTGTGCTAAGAGTTGAGGTAACAAAGTCAGACAAAAACAAGGTCCCCATTTTCAAGAGCGCACTCTCAAGTGACTCATTTCGAGTGTATCCTCAGCTGTAGAGCGTAGAGTTTAGAATTAAGGTATCATCTATCCTAGCCTCTCCGTTTACTCATGGAGAAACTGAGGTCTGAAGAGAAGTTACTTGTTCAAGGTCATACAGTTAACAAGAAGTATAACCAGGGCTAGACCTCAGTTGCTCTGATTGAATGCAATGCTCTTTTTTATTAGGCTATCTCTTTTATATGTTATTTGAGTTTAAAAAGAAAACAAACAACAAAAATCCCAGAAATAAAAAAAATCAGAAGAAAAAGGATATGACAGAATAGAATGCAATTATCAGCTATGCCGGAGATAAGGACCTGAAGATGACCTCAAGGCAACTCAGAAACTAGTATGGATTCCAGGATGCCTAAAGGAAGAATGCTGCTTTTTTATTCGTATGAAAAAATCAATACTACTCTTAAAAAAAATTTCCGTATTAGTCATGTTGCAAAAACAAACAACCCCTCCCCACTAAATCAACTAGAAAAAGAAAGAGAGAGAGTGAAAAAAGAATGGGTCCTTTTGGAATCATCTCAGATCATTGCCTTGATCAGAGTGGCTAAGTCTTCCACAGTTGATTATCATTATGCTACTGCTGTTATTATGTACAATGTTCTAGTGGCTCAGCTCACTTCACTTTGCATCAGATCACGAGTCTTTCCAGGTTTTCTGAAACCACCCCCCTTGTCATTTCTTATGGAACAATAGCATTCCACCATAACCATATACCACAGCTTGTTCAGCTATTCCTCAATTGATGGGCATCCTCTTGGTTTCCAATTCTTTGCCACCACAAAAGAGTTGCTATAAATGTTTTTGTACATATGTCACTTTGTACATATTTCTACACATGTCACCTCTTCTTTGTCAACCCTACTCCACAAACCAAAATACCCCCTCTGCCCCAAGTCACCAAACCTTATTTGATCCTAGTGCCACCTCTTCCAACTCTCCAAGCGCTCAGTCTCCATTTGCCTTGCATTATCAACATCTGCCTTCCTGTAAGTCTGACACAACAGTCCCGACTCCTTGGCCAAATTCCTTGAGTGATTTAAACATACTCTCTTTCCTTACTGCCTCCTTAAAACTACTTGCCCTCTGGCTTCTGACCTCACCATGACACTGAAATTTACCTAATCCCAATCATGGCCTCTTTCTAGTCAAATCTAAGTCTTAGGTGATATAGGTCATGGAGTGCTCGAGGCACAAAGACCTGGTTCAAACCTGGCCTCAGACACTCACTTGATGTGCAACCCTGAACAAGGCACATCCTCTCTCAGCCTCAGTTTCCTCATCTGTAAAAGGGGGATAATGACAGCATCACCCTCAGAGAGTCGTTATGAGATTAAATGACAGAAAGCACTTTGCAAATCTTAAAAGCTTTGATCACTCCCTCCATGAAATTATTCCCTGCTGGGCCTATGACTGTCATGGCTCTGTCACTTCTAGCTCTTCCTAGACTCTTCTCCCCTTAAAGGTTTTGGCTTTCTCTATCCATCACCTTTATCAAACATTTCCCCAAATCTAATCTCCAGCCTAACCTCTTGTCCTAACTTCCAATTCATGTCTTCTGCTGCCTATGGCACATATTCATTCAGACAACCTATTAAAAGACAATTAAACAACAAAAGCTAAATTATTTATTTTCCTCTTCCAATCCATTTTCCTTCTTATTTCTCCATTTCTACTTATCCAGTCATAAAAACTTGAGAACTTAAAAGTCCTCTTTGAGACTTCTTTTTTGTTTATCCTCCAAACTCAGTCTAGAGCTGAGGTTCCCAAGCTTATTTGGCCTACTGGCCCTTTAAAAAAATGACTCAGCACCCCCCTGGAAATCTTACAAACTAGGAAAGAGGTCTCAGATTAAGTGTACAATTGCACCCGAGGCTACTACTGCTCCCCTAGAGCAGTTCATGGGTGGGGGTGGAGGGGCCCACTTTGGGAACCACTGGTCTAGAGCCACACAATTAAACGTGCAAGAAGAGACTGGGTCTTCTGACTCTGAGGCCACATCTTTGCTCACTAGGACATCTTGCTTCTCTTGTTTGAGATTATAAATTAACCATAAGATATTCAATTCCCATGCAATCAAACACAACATATAAAAATTTACCTCCTTATCACCAGACAATTTTCTCAAATTAAGGGCTTGTTTCAGTTCCATAATCTGTTCTTCTTGTTTCTTTAGATCTGCCTTGCAGTCATCTTTTTCAGTCAAGGTAGAGTTATATTTGCACTGAAGAACAAAATGTTATCAGAAAAGCTATTTATTTGAACACAAGGCAAATTAAAATGTTATTTTAGCATGTAATAAAACCCCAGCCTGATGACATTAGATCACCATATATCTAGAAAACAGAGAAAACTTTACAATTCACAGACACGTGGTGAGAGAATGGGACATTCCGTACTGAAGGCAAGTAGGCAATGTGATACAAATCATCACAGGTACGAAGAGACCCCAGAAGAGTCAACAGAGGGGGAAATAGGAGGCCAATGCAGGTGTAAACTTTTCCTGAAATCAGATTACAAATGAGGCTTTTACTGTACTTAAATGCCAACACCTACATACTGTTATCTTGTCTATTTTATCTTATATACCATTTACATACCCTGCAACAGGGCCGTTTCTCATTTTTACCATATGATGGCTATGGCTACAGCTTTCTCCTAGCTTACTTGTTTGAGACACATAATATGGCAATCCAAATCTTAATTACAGATCTTTGTGAAGTTTAATTGTTAACCATGGATAAAAAGTTTTGGTTAAGAAACAGGTAAGAAATGCAGAGGATGAGAAGACTGCTGGGGACAGAGGCTATAAGAATGAATGATGTTATAGAACTATCAAAGAAATATAAGGGAAATAATGGAAAATAATAAGTGGTAATTTTCTATGCACAGAATCATAGTGAAAAAATCCAATTCAACTTTACATAATGATAATGTCTTGTTAGCAATAGAACTTACTGTTATGTCCTCTAGTTCTCTTGTTAACATATCTATATTTCCATTTTTCTTGACTAACAGATGCTTTCAGGTCCTGGATCTGACTCATGAGATCAGTTACAGCTTCCTAAAAAGCATAGAAAAATATCATTTTATGAAAATGAATTAATCATTACTTGTTAATGGTAATGACCAGGAACTCCTAGTCTGGTTTGCTTGTCCATTTTCATTTAAAAGGAGACAACTCTAATCTATACCTCACTTATGCTCCACACTATTGTGCCCTGCTGTGTACCAAGGGATCTGTAAAGTTTCATAGAAGTTCCTTAGATGTGAGAGACTGTACAGACCAGGAGAGCTTACCCAACCACCAAAGCCAGTGCATTTGTCTACTTCTCTCACTGACAACTTCATTATTAGTACAATTCAAGATGTTGATCCTTGGATGTAAAGAGAACAGCTAACCTTGGAAACTGCTTCCTCCGTCAGTCTCCCTGGGATCTCACAACAACAGTGAAACTGGCTTAAAGGAGTAAAGCCATATGACCTGCAGGTGCTGGTTGGGAAACTGACTACTCTCAGGCCTCAAAACACAACACCTAGGGTGGCAGTTTTGAGGAGACATAGAATATCTAATATTTTCTTCTGTCAATTAATTAATCAACAACCATTTATGAAGTGCCTGCTATCCGTCAGGCACAGGGGATACAAATACAATAAATAAAATAATTCTTATTCCCAAGCAGTGCATGTTTTAGCAGGGTTGACAAGTACATATGTATGTGTATCCAGAAAAACTAAAGAATAAGCACAAAGTAGAAATATGAGGTGGTTGGAAGAGGGAGGATACCAGCAGTTGAGGGGTTGAGGAAAGGGTTCAATGGTAAAGCCATCCTGGGCTTTGCCTTAAAGGAAAAGAGGGATTCTTTGAGGTGGTGTGTTCCAAGCATGCATGGCAGAGAGAGTGCTGTGTTCGAGGAGCAGAGAAGGCTAATGGGGCTGGAATTCACAATGAAGGAGGGGAAGTAATTAACAGTGAGGCTAGAAATGTTGGGAAAAGGCTGTGAAACGCTTTAAAAACTGAACAGAAGTGTTTATATTTGATTCTGGGGCAAGACGGAGCCACTGGAATTTACGGAGTAAAAGTGTGACATTTTTCAATTCTACACTTAAGCAAAGTCACTTTAGCAGCAGGATGAGAGATGGGTTGGAGTAGGGAGACTCTTGAGAAAAACACATCAGTTTGGAGGCCATTGCCAGAACTAGAGAATTGCCTCAATAATCGCGATTTCCAGCAACCATATCCCTCTAGAACACATCACCAAATGCTGTGAAAATGATCTCTGATGATTATAACAAGGCCCTCATACTTTACTCATTAAGATCAAATATGCTCTAAAGACCACTCTTATCTAAAAGAGAATTCTTAATAAGCTTAGTTGTATGGTTTCTCAGCATATAAAAACAAGAAGCTGAAAGTCTGAACAAAATAAAGGTTATTAGGAAAGGAGGTACACCCTGCCATAACTAATGAAATAACCAGGCACTTTGGTCTATGCTTTTTTTCTTTCTCTGTTTTGGTTTCTTAGCTACTAAACTGTAGCCATTCAACACGTCATAAATTAGGGAAGGTATCACATCCTCATTATTAACAGCATATGAAGTGACAGTTAGTCAACAAACATGTATTAAGTGCCTACTATGCGCTAGGTGCTTTGCTAAGCGCTTAGGGATATAAAGAGGCAAAAGATAGTTCCTATCCTTGAGAAGCTCACGGTCTGATGATGAAGAGGACAAGCAAACAACCGCGTTATTCGACATAAGTAGACAGAAGACACTGGATTCCTTCCATCCCCTTCTAAAGCCACTCCATGTCCCTGTTTTACTGAATACTAAATAAAGTAGCAGTGTTTCAATACTTGTCAAACTTTAGAAAAAGAGGAAACAGGGCCCTGGTTTGCATTTCACCAGGACACAAATTCACCTTCAACTTTCATGGAGTAAGAAAACCTTCCACCTTCTTACTTGGTCAGCAGCCTTAGTCTTTTCCAGAGAGGCGATGGTCTTCTCAGCTGCCAACAAGCTCTGCTCTAGTCTCTCTATTTTTACTGTCTGGGGAGTAAGAGAGAAAAGCTGGGTTCTTTTCAGAATTTAAATATTCCTCTGGAGACACAGCATCACAACTGTATTCTATTTTAAAGATACAAACAATATTTTCTAGAACTCAGATCTATTTTACAAAGTTAACTGAAAATAAAACAGTGAATATGGGTTCAGAGACCCAGCTGTGATCAGACAAATGTGCAGAGGGGATTCCATCTAAGAGACCACTGCCACACATTACACAGTATCTCTCAATCACTGAAGGTAGGAAGCTAATTTAATAAAGTAGAACAAATGACTAGAAATTTTCATTTCCAAACTTCTAAAATGTCCTCCCAACAACCCTATTAAGAACTACAAAACTGCCAGTATTGGTATAATATGCTAGTTACCTGCTGCTCACACTTAGCAATCTCTTTCTGTTTCTCCTGTTGTACTGAATCAAGAACTTCTAAGAATTTCCTGAAAGAGAAGAAATATATTTCATAGGTGACTCACTTCAAACAAATATTCTATGAATCTAAGCAATCAAGACTTAAAGAGCTAATTTTAAGTTACATCCCCATTAACACAATACGACATAATTTATATCAGGTCATATAAAGATGTGGGGTTAGAGATAGACATTTTAATAACAATTGTTTTTAATTTCCTAAAATTCATTTTGATTACTTTAGAGAAGCTTAGAATACTTGGAAGCTAATTATTTATCTTGGTCGTGGTTTTTAATTTTTAATTTCTTTTTAATGAAAGATAACAACAATGACTAAACGGCAAATATTTAACAAATTAAGTTTATTCAAACTTTAAATATTTAACAAAAAGGACCTAATATTTATTTGGAAAACTTTTAAAAAGCTATTGTTTGCAATGTAATATCAGAAATAAAAATTTAATAAAGGTATTAAATTTAAAATATTCTATAATTCTGAAGAAAAAATACTAAACAGTACTCACTTGGAATTACTTTCTTTGTCTTCTTCTAACTGCGATATCAACTTGTTATTACGCTCTTTTTCTGTTTCTAAGAGCTCCAACACATTCTAAAGAACACAGTTTATAAAGTTTAATTATAGGCATACTAATACCAATAACACCTATTCATTTTCTGGCGCCTGTCATGTACAAAGTTAAAACTATGTTAGACAAGGAGGAAAACAGATATAAGATATTTTTTATTGAGTGGGACTTCAGATGGGCATTGAACACAGGCGAGGGATTCAGGTAAATGGTGGAAGGTGGGAAGAAAGGACTTCCAGATAGGAAGAAGATGGTGTGAGCAACACTATGCCCCATTTGAGAAACAATGAGTAAAGCAGTCTGGCTGCTGCTAAAAGAAGCTTTGGAAAATAAAGTTCAAGGTGGGAGTGAGCTGGCCTGAGAGTGGAGACCCAAAACTGTCTAGTTACAGAAAACAGATACTATTTTCATAAGCAACGGGCCACTATGGGTGGTGTCTAAGCCATGGGGCCACTGAAGGTTTTCAAGCTAGGATATAAAATGATCAAAACGGTCACATGTTATATGAAATCTAGTCCCTCAGTTCAAGAAAATTTCAGTAACTTAAATTTAGATTTATACACCCAGCTACAGTCTTTCCTAAACTCAGTCTTGTAGCATTGACTGCCTATTGGACATCTCTAACTGAAGTTCTGTAGGCATCTCAAACTCACCAGGACCAAACTAGAACTTATCTTCTCCAACAAAACTGCCCCTCTTCTTAACTGTCCTATTTTTTGTTGAAGATACCACCATCTTCCCAGTCAGTCAAGCCTGTGACTTTGGAGCAGGACTTGACTTTCCTTATCTTCAACTCTCCTATCTAATCAGCTGCTAAGGCTCATCTGTGTCTCTATTTGCCTTTCAACTCTCCCTTCCTTAATGCACTGCACTCCACACAACTGTCAAACTGATATTCCCAATGCACAATTCTGACTCTGCGGCTCAGGAAGCTCTCAGGGCTCCATAGTGTTTCTAGGATAAATGATAAACCCCTGTTTGGCTTTTAAAGCCCTAAATCAGCTGGCTCCAGCCACTTTTTCAAGCTCCCCTTCACATTCTCCATGTTAGAATTAAACAGGCTTTTTGGCAGCACACGACCAAATATTCCATCTTCTGCCTTTGTGCCTTCACACTGGCTAATCCCAATGTGTGGAATGCACTTCCTCCTCCCCTCCACTTTAGGACCCCAGAATTCCTTCAAAGCTCATCTAAAATGCTATTGCCTATAGGAAGTCTATTCCAAGTCCCAAAGGCGCTAGTGCTTTCCTTGAGGAAACCACCTCGTATATAGTTTGTATTTTAATCCTTCATGGACATGTTGCTATACTATCAACAGACCCTCAGGTCTTTTAGGGCAAGGCCTCTCTCATTTCAATCTTTGCACCCCCAGGGCCTGACACACACTAGGTCCCTAACAAACATTTGTTAAATTATAGTTATTAACAGACAAGTCTAACCCCTGTAAGCAGGAAGACATAACAAAGACAATACATGTATGCACCATGTTTTCCTTTCCTTGAAACCATCACGCATTCAAGCACTTCAAAGATGAGAGAGCAAGAAATCAGCACATGAGAACCTTATTTAGAAGGCCATCTTAGGTCCATTTTCAACTCAGTCATCATGTTACCTTCTTAATGGCAGTTAAAAATATACAGCACAACTTGACAAATCTTTCCATACAACAGTAACAGTTCTATTCATTTTCCAAATCTTCCAAGGCAATTTTACATAGAATTTAAATTTGTTGTAAGAATTTAGTTTAAAAAACAAACAAAAAAACCCACCAAAACACAAAACCATGGCATTTGTGTGTATGGCAATGCTTAATGACCCCTAAATGAATATAGTAGCTACAACCATCACTATCATCTAGAAGAGATCTCTAAGATGATTTACCCTTAAGAACCTTAGCACAAGGCAAGGCTTCAGCTTTGAACATTTTGGAGGGGATGCTTCAGTAAAACTGTAAGTTGACGAGACTTAACTTTAATAACACTCTTCAGTTAATAAGTGCATTTTTTTTTCAGATTTCAAAGGTTTACTAAAACTGCTACTAATGCCTTTGGTATACATCAAATTTCTTAGTCATCAGTCAACATTTCCCCTTTCCTAAAACAGAAAAAAAGTCTAACAGATAAAATATTTTATTTTTAATTTCTATGCCAATAAACCCCATGAGTAAAAAGATAACAGGTCCTTCCTATTGCAAATAAGACAGCTATTAGGTTTCCTTATCTCTCCCAATCTGTACTCCCTAGTGTCTCTGAAATTCCAAGATGCATGGAATATCCTTCTAACTCAAACCCCCTGTAGTGTGCTATGAATACCCACGTCCTGAGGGAAGGGATCTGGGATGGGGTGAAAACAGAGGCTAAGATAGGTAAGCACTTTTTAGCAAGTGTCTGCAATGCTCTCTGACCTCTCTCTGAGCTGCTAGAGGGCAATAAAAGGGAATGAATGATCTTTCCTTGAGTAGAAGTATGGCCCATGGTTCATTCAACATCAACCCTGGTTGGGATAACTAGTTGTCAAGTTAGTCTAAAAGCCAAACTGGCAATACCATTCAAGGACAAGGGAGAAGTGTGAATGAGGCTGAGCATTAGAGACTGTGATCTCGTCATCAGAGGCCATAATGAAAAACAAAAGCACAAGCCTTACTCCGAGTTTGGCTTGCAGCATCTCATTTGCTTCTTGGCTATCCTGGAGCTCCTTGGAAAGCCCACTTGTCTCAAACTTCATCACTTCCTGAAGGTTATCGTAGGAGTCCTGCAGGCAGGCTTTTGTTTCAAGTATCTTTTCATGCTCTAGCCTTCATTGTGAAAATATTTTGACAATGTTAAATAGGGACATTCGATGTATTTTAGTTACTCAGATTACTTAGGGGAGTTTAATTTAATTGCAATGTAATTGCTCCACAGCAAACACAATTCAAGTTGGAAGGCACCTAATAATTTCATTTGAATTACAATTTTAAAACTATCTCAACTCCATTCAATTACTGTGCCAGGAAGATTTGAGAGGAGACAGCTTGACTCATTTTGAGAGAAAGCTATTTCCACTGCATCCCAGGAAGAGGATGAGCAAGGAGGTTAGCTGAGAAAGCCAGCTTCTTCACTACCTCCTAGGCAGTCTCCAGTGTGGTTTCATTACAGGTAGGACTTGCTTTACAAAATAACTAGGTTTGTAAAAAAAAAAATTCTGTTTTTAAAATTAAATCATTAAGCATACTAAGCTCACTACTTAAAAGAGAGTCCTGGGTGAAACAAAAGATTTTTTGTTACTCAAAATTAATACACTGGAACAATGGTTTCATTTACTCACTTATCTGGAGTTCCCTTAGCTTAAAACAGCCTTTAACCAACCAAGATACAATCCCAAATTTCCCCACAGAGCCCTTCGCTTCTTCATTCAGAACCTCCTTGTTCTGATATGTTTCTAATAAGGCTGTGGTTTGATTTTTTTTTTCTGACTTATTCTAACAATGAACATTAGAAGAAAAAAAAAGGAGAGTTCTGCTAAAGAAAAACAAAATGACAATAGCATGAAGTGACACCTGAAAGATAAATAGAGATGGTGATGAAAAAATTACAAAAAGAGCAGACAAAAAAAGCAGACGCCATTTTAAAAAGCACAACACTATGGGGTCATTTAACATAGGAGCGAAGAAGCTTGTGAATCGCAATAGGCCGTGAGGATATTACTGTGTTATGGCATAGTATCACAACTGATTTCCATAATATGATCCTGAGTCATCAAGCAAAGGTTGCTTTAAATTGTGTTGTGTACTCTGCTTAAGAGTTACAGCAAGAAGATAGATGATACTTAATCAAAATCATTAATACAATGTTTGTTTGATTTAAACCTAAGAGTAAGCTCCAGCATCCAATGCACTCTTAAAGGAGAACTCATCTGCATTTAGGCTGATAAGATGGAACAGAAGTCATAGGTCACAGGATCACAGACTTAGAATTTGAAAGGACCTTGGAGGTCCACTTGATCCTCATTTTACAGAAGAGGAAACCAAGGCACAGAGAGGTAAGGGGCTTGCCCCAAGGCCACTCCAGTAGGAAGTGGAAAAGTGAGCATTCATTCAGATATAGGTCTTCCAAATTCTGCATGCTTTTTACTCTGCCGGCATAACAGGATCATAGATACAGAGTAGGAAAGGACCTGAGCAACTGATGAGCTTAGCCCAACCCTTCTAGAGTCTTTTACAGAGCCAAGTTCACACTGGTATATTAGGTGACAGAGCCAGGACTCATCCCAGAGCCTCTGACATCAAATTCAGTACACACAAGGAAGAAAGGATGTGGTGGTTGGTATTGTCTTTAAATATTAGAAAACTCCAAGGAATCTTCACTATTCTTCAGCTTATGGAGAGTGGCGATTGTATACATTTTTTCATACTAAAAGTGTACAGGACTAAGAACCAGGAACCTGGGTTTGAGGAGTTCCACCTCTGACAGATACTCACTGAGTAAATTGGTGCACATTGTCTAACCTCTCAGCATGTTTCCCAAACTGTAAAATGGCGATAAAACTTGCACTTTCTACCTCACTGCTTAGTTGTGTGTGAACATTTTTTTCAGGTTCTATTGGATTTCCAGTGAGTGTCATCATAAGAATGCTCTGATTTGAGTTCTATGGGAATGCACTGATTTACGATAGGCCTCTAACAGTGAATAGGACACACTTTAAAAAGTGAAGCAAATTTTGCTTTAAGTGTATTAAATCCACTGTGGTGTAAATAAACTAAACATAACTGTTATATCTCTTTAAAAAAAAAAATCAGACCTGTTCCATTCAGTGATAAGCCCAGATTTACAGTTATCAAAATAAAATTCCCTTTATGTTTCTTTAAGCAAAATATGTACAATGAATAAGGGGTATAAAAGGCCACAGAAGGTAGCCAGGTACTAGGTTTAATTTATATATGTGGCATCTGTGGGGGAGGGAAAATACCAACCCAACAAAATGCAAAACGATCACAAATAAATTCTGTCCCACAATACATCTCCCATCCTTTTCCTTCCCTTTGCCCATAGAATCACCGTTCTAGTTTAGGTCTTTCACACGGACTATTGTAACACCAGGTCTTACTGGGTCTTCCTGCTTCCAGTTTCTCCACTTTCCAATGGATCCTCCACACAGCTGCCAGACTGACATCTTTCCCCTAAAGCACAGCTTTGACCACATCGCCCCCTGCTTCTCAGGAAGCTCCAGCAACTTCCTTTTGCCTCTAGAATAAAATACACATTCCTCTGCTTGGCTTTTAAAGCCCTTCTCAGCCTGCTCCCATCTGCCTTTCCAGGTCAAAGGTACCTACTCTCCCATTGCCTCTACTTTTCAGGTACAGTACCTAGAACAGAGTTGGTGAAAAAGAAGAGCTTGATGAATGAGAAACATACTCTTGGATTTACACTGAGTACTCTGCCAAGTCAGAAATGCCACCTTATTCCAATGTCACGCAGTGAGAGTCTCCCCATTTCACAGAGGTTCCAAGAGCACCCAGGCAGGAAGTGCAAGAGCTGCAAATCAAATCTAGGCCTTTCATACTCTAAAACCAGGCATCTTTCCACCCCAAGTTGGCTCAAAGCATTGGTACTTGTGTTATTTCTTCAAAGTAAGACAGGGAGTGGATGTAAGAGACAATGACAAGACAGAAAACACTGCTTATGACAGTAAGCTATGACATGAACAACTTGAAGTTAATGTTCAAGTCATTTATAGACAAAACTCTATTTGATACACAATCTATATGATAAACTCTGGATAATCAGTCATGTGAATTATCAGGCAACTTTATCCATAATAAGAATGCACTACCTGACATTATCCAGCTGGAGCTGTACATCCAGGTGTTTTTGGGAAAGTTGACTGAGCTCCTTTTCCTGATTTTCCCTTAATGAACTGTATTCCAATTTCACTGAAATCAGCTCCGTATCTGCAGACTGAAGAGCTATATGCAGGTCACGTATTTCACTTGTCATGACTGAAAAACAATATTAATTTTTTTAAGATAAGTGAATTTATGTCTACTAAAAAATCTATTTTGATGCTACAGTGTGGCATGGATGTGACAGCCAATGGTCAATCAGCATTTATTAAGTGCCTACTAAGGCACTCATTAAGCCTAGGGATATAGACAAAAACATGTAAACAACTATGTGCAAACGAGAAAAAAGTGAAGATAATTTCAAAGAAAAGTCTTCTTATAGAAAGTGGGATTTGAGCTGGATTTGAAGGAAACCAGGGGAAGTCAGGAGGTAGAGATTCCTGAATCAGGGCAAAGCAGAGATCCCCGAGAAAGGTGTTTTTAAAGACCCATGGATTCTCCAAGACAGTACCAGTGGAATATAAACTCATAAGGTGCTACACAATCCTGACTGTGTGCCTATAATCTGAGAACTAGCAGAATGTCAGAGGGACTCATCAAGGGTGTGTCAACTACTACCACATACTATGGTGTGAAGAGCTTTTGATCTCCTTTGGTAGAGGAAGCAACCATATGTCTCCCATGAAAATCACATATTCTTGAAGTAATAAAATGAACTCAAATTTAACTCATCATGCCACAAATCAGGATGTCAGCAAAGCAAAACAAAACCTTCTGTAAGTATTGTCTTTGCTGAATTTGAAGTCAAGAAATTGGATAATTAAGCCATTAATAACCTAGTACACTTGAGAATTCCAAATATTCCTCTTCCTCTACTTCTGGGCCTGTGATTTTATGCAGGATTTCTTTTGTAAATACTGTTTATTTTTAAAGAGATAAAGCCTACGTGTTTTATTAGCATTTATTAAGAACTTACTATGTACCACTGTGCTAAGCACTGGGACTACAAAAATAGAAAACAGCCCCTGCTCTCCAAAAGCTCAAAGTCTGATGGGAGAGGCAGCAAGCAAACAACCCTGTACAGATAAGGTATGGACAGGATAAACTGAGGACAGGCTCAGAAGGCAGGCACTGAAATCAAGGGGGATCAGGAAAGGTTTCTTACATAAAGCTGGATTTGAACTGAGACTTGAAGTCAAGAGGCAGAAATGAGAAAGGAGAGCATTCTAGAAATGAGGCCTAGCCAGTGATAATGGAGGGAACTGGGAGATGGAGTTATCTTGCGAGAGAAATGGCAGGGAGGCCAAAATCCATGGATCACAGAGTATGTGGAAGGGAGTAATTAGAAAACAGCACGCATCCAATATCACTCATCTGGCCCTAATGCCAATTCTATGAGGGACACAGTATAAGCATCTGTTATCACTTTCTCTTGAAGAAACTGAGGATCAGAGAGGTTATGGACCTGACAAATGTCACAGCCACAGTAAATGATGAAATCCTGAATCAAACTCAGGTCCTTCAGACTCCAAATCTATTGGTCTCCAGTCTCACCTCTCTACCCACTCCAATACAAGCTGACTTTCCTGAAGCCTGGTTTGGCCATGACAAACTGGAGCCCTGAGGATCACATGGGAATTGTTGCAGGCATCAGGTGACGTCCTTCATACTCTCGGATTTGACCAGTTCTGGGCCTTCCAAGTACCTCCTAAATGAGGTCCACAACCACATAACAAATGAGTTCAGTCAAACTATCTGTACAGGAAAAACTAGGCTGAAAAAGAAGGCCTAGTGTCCAGACTAAGACATGCATAAACCTTGGAAGAGATATGATACATGGAAAATGAAGAAAGTTGGGATGGCTGACAAAAAAACAGAAATGACAAAGCACTACAGGAAAGTACACACACTGATGCCCCACTGGCTATTCTGGTGAGTGGTTTGGAACTGTCTCCAGAGTTACCAAATTGTGCATACCCTTTGATGCAGCAAGACCACTACTAGGCCTGTGATCCCAGGAGCTCAAAGAAAGAAAAGGTTCTGAATGTACAAAAATATTTAGAGCAGCTTCTTATGACAAAGATGTGGGATGTCCATCAACTACAGAATGGCTGAATAATCTAAGGTATATGACTGTAGGGCAGCCAGGTGGTGCAATGGATAGAGCATCCTGCCTGTAGTCAAGAAGATTCATGTTCCTGAGTTCAAATCCAGCCTTAGGACACTTATTAGCTGTTTGACACTGGGCAAGTCACTTAATTATGTTTGCCTTAATTTCCTTATCTGTAAAATGAGCTGGAGAAGGAAATGGAAAACCACTCCAGTATCTTTGCCAAGAAAACCCCAAATGGGGTCATGAAGAGTTGGAGGACATGACTAAACAACAATGACAATGTGAATATAATGAAATATTATTCTGTAAGAAATGAAAAAAGATTTTCAGTGAAAGCTGGAAAGATTTGTATGGAGTGACAAAGAGTGAACTGAGCAAAATCAGGAGAATGATTTCATACTGTAACATCAACACTGTAAAAATGAACAATTATGTAGACTTAAGAGCTCTGACCAATACAGCAATCAAGATTTCAGAGGACCCATAATGAAGACCCTGGACTAACGTGCAGAAAGAGAAACAAATTTCTGGAAGTATCCAATATAGGAATTTGTTTTGTTTGATACATATATTTCTTGTAAGGGTTGGGCTTTTTCCCCCTTCCACAGGGAGGGACAGACAGGAGGTGAAAAAAATAAAACACTTGATTTTTTAAAAATTCAATTGAAAACTTAACTAGGCCCAGAAATGAAAAGGAGATAGTAGGTTTGATTTGCATTTGGAAAATTTTAATAATCCCAAGCTTCTCCCTGAAACAAAGGTTCATCTTTTTTTTTTTTTAATATGGACCTTCTTTCAGTGAGCTGTATGGCTGTGAGTCATGGAATTACCCAAATTAACCTTTGGATCGCCCAAAGAACAATGCAGAGGCACATGGCAGGAATGGGTAGGCTCTAACACATGACCAAAAAGGAACTGCACCAAAGAAATGGTGTAAAGGATATTATCAGGGAGATTTATAAACAGCAAAAGGGGTGAGATGGCTTTTTAGTGAAAATGAGGAGTAACTGATAAGTGCCCACTTGCTCTCCTGGTATCCATGCCATGTCAAGAGAGCTCAAGGGCAGCTGCCAATATGTTGGATGGAAGCCCTTCAAGACCCACAAGATAATGTGGACGAGCCATAGGACAAGAAAGCACAGACAGGTAACACTCTGTGCCACTGGAGGGAGTACTCACATCAATGATATTGCAGATGCAAGCACAGGAAGAAAGAAGTAAAAGACTCAAGAATTTACACACAATTGGCACTTTCCAAGGCAGCATAAACATTTTAAATTGTGACAATGTTATTTTCTTTAAATGTTATAAATATTTGTGAAAATTGCTTCAAAGGATGTACTATGATTACTACACTTGCTACAATCAAAATATAAGTAATCCAGCCTCAGCAAAAACCACAAACAGACCACGAAGAGTATTATTCCCAGTAGCAAGAGACAAAAACTCACAAGACCTGAAGGATACCATATAAAAGAAGGCCAGCTTCACCAAGCACCAAATTATGGACACTCACACTCATTCTTGCCGTGAGCATCTTGAAGCTGTTTTTCAAGGGAATTCAGCTGTGTGAGATAGCCCTGCTGCTGTTTGTGCCAATCAGTTTTTTCTGAAGAGAAGAGCTTAGAAAAAAGGATCAAAGTTAAAAAGCGAAGAAAGGCATATCAAACCATATCTAAGGTAATTCATTATTTAAAGAGTCATTTTTTAAGGTCTTCTGAGTAATAAGAAAAAATCTGGATGTTAATTACGTTTGAATTACCAATGATTCACATTTTTCTTGTCTTGAATATTTATGGAAAAAAGATGGGGGGCAAAAATCATTAGCATTATCTGATAATTTGCAGTAAGTTAGAATTCATTCTAGTAGCCAGATATTTATTTCATAAAATTTCAGATGTCTATTTCTTTGTTTTCTCCTTTAGTACCTAAGTCAGGCATGATATTCTTTCTTACTTGACATTCTTATGTTAGAATCTGTTTTCTACACTGTTGTACCTCCTGTGTTTGTGTGGAATGATGCTCTAATTTATCAATATACTGAAGCTTCATATTTTTACTTTCTTCTTCATCCAGCTTTGTCTGAAGAACAGTCAGCTGTTCCTGAAAAAGTGACAAAAGGTCCACTCAGAGATGAAGGTATTTTTACAATGAACACAAATGGTGGCACTACTATGACCAGGCGGCTAGGTGGCATCATAGTGCACAGAACACAGGGCCTGGAGTCAGAAAGCCTTCAAAGTTCAAATCCAGTCTCAGACATTTACTAGCTGGGTGACTCTGGGCATGTGACTTCACTGCTGTCTGCTTCACTTTCCTCATCTGTAAAATGGGGATGATAATAGCAGCACCTACTTCTCAGTGTTGTTTAAGGATCAAATGAGATAATATTTGTAAAGCACTTAGCACAGTACCTGGCACACAGTAGGTGCTTAATAAGTGCTTGTTTTCTTCCTTCTTTCCTATTACCCTCGGCAAGAGCAGGCCTGGAGGGATACCTATGAACTGCCCAGATCCCAAAGGGACATCCAAGGGCCCAACAGGTACCAACCCTACATGGAAGCCTTTCTCTCCCTAGTTTCCACTGCTCAGCTCTCTCTGCCTGGATGCTGACACCACCCCCTAGCTCCTCCTCACCAGAGGTAAACTCAGAGCCCCACTTAGCCCACTCCCCCCCCCTTTTTTTGGGCTAGGCATTGGGGTTAAGTGACTTGCCCAGAGTCACACAGCTAGTAAGTGTTATGTGTCTGAGGCTAGATTTGAACTCAGGTCCTCCTGAATCCAGGGCTGGTGGTGCTCTATCCACTGCACCACTCAGCTGCTCCTCCACTCCCCCTTTTCCATCGTTGCAGGGACCAACTATGTAACATGGCAGCCAAGGCCTTACCCTTAGCCTTGGTCCTCTGTGACTTATCACCTGTTCCTCAGCTGACCCTTTCTATACATGCTGTCATCCAAATTACAGTGTGAGCTCCCCAAGAGCAGGAGTGGCCCTCCTTTTTCTACTGGTGTGTAGTTTGGAGCTCTGCACATGGTATTAATAAATACTCCTTTGTTGTGCCAGGCACAACCTCAAATGCCACAAAAATCTACTAAAAAGCCCAATGGAGGCAAAGGTCCACCTCGTGGCAGGAAAACTCCAATGTGTTTCAGGATCACTGTTAGACTTTTTCAGCATCTGTTAACTTGGCAAAACATCAATTTAAAAAACTACTAATTAAAACTTTGGATTAATCTATAGAGTTTTCTAGAAGTTCCTTCTCTGGAACAGGAAGGGAACAACATCTAAAAGTTTCTGTGGCAATTGATTTTAGATTCAAGTTATTAGAGTATAAGCAAATAGATACCAGCAAACCTTAAGTTTTTATTAAAACTAAGAGCCAAAGCAATCCCTTTATGGGAAACTGCATAACCACTACCTTCTAATTACACCACATTTAAGATAACCTTTAAATACAAAATCGATTTTAATACTGTAGGAAATTAAACAGCTAAGATTCAAGATAAAGAAAGGAATAAAACAGGGAACAGCATTAATCTCCTTTCTTTTGGCAACAAGTTACCTGAACTACTTTGAGCTCCTCAGAAATGGCTTCACCAGCTTGTTCATTTATCTCTGGAGGAACTGGCTCATTGATATTAGCACCCAAGATTTCAGGACTTAGTGGAGGTACTAATTGAGACCGAAGCTGATAAGTCTTTGTTGGAGTAGTTAGCTGTTGCAAAAATGATTATAAAATGTAACATTAGTAGATTTTAATATAATTATTTAAAACCGTGTGAGGAGAGATGTATGTCTCATGGTGAGGTACATCAGATGAAGGCAAGAAATCATACTCTAAATTTCTTGGGCTAGAGTAGGCTCTAAGAAAAAAAACTTGATTTATAGACAGTGTGTGTGGCAAGTCTTGAAAATCATTGGCCTTTTCTTCCTCCTTCTCGACCTCTTTGCAGTGACACTGTCAACCATCACCCACACTTTGGAAGCCTGCCTTTTGTCTTAGGGTCTCTGTTTCCTTCTGTTTGTCCTCTTCCCGTCTGACCAATCCTCCTTGGTCTTCTAAGGTGATCTCCTTTCATCGACCCCTCTGGACAGGTGTCCCAAAAATTTTTGCCTTTAACCCTTCTTTTCTCTTCCCATGGCTTCAATGGCCAACTCTTACACATGACCGATACCCATTGATGCTTGTGATCTTGACTTTCCTCTTGAGCTCAACATGCTCAAGACTTAACTCAATTCATGTTTCTTTTTCCTTTGCAATTTCTGTCTGTGGCTACACTAGTCACTCACATCTCCCACATTCAAAATTTTAGGGCTATATTTTAGAAAGACTTTAGCAAGGCCACTTTCTTGTGCATAATGTGATGTGAACTGATTTCAATTCAAAAAGCATTCGACAAGGACCTACCAGGTGTTGTTAGCCATTGTGCTGGGCACCAAGAATTTAGAAAAATAGGAACCGATGCCTGACCTGAAGGAGCTTACATTCTACTTGGGAACAACTAAAAAATAGTTTGAAATAATACTTAGTCTCTGGAAAGGCACACAACCAGAGAGAGTCAGTGCACTGACCAGGCTGGAATGAACGCATGCGGTGAGTGGTTGTAGATTAGCGATGTAGCCAGGAGGACGAGGCACTGAGTGACTGAGGATGAAAGGGTGACTTCAGCAGCTCCTGCTCTCCCAACCCTGCCCCTGCCTTATTCAGCTGAGACACTTGCTGGCGCATGGACACTCTGGTGGCCTCTAAGATGCTTCCAGGCTCTGGTGTGCTTTGCGTAAAGATTGAAGCTCCGACTCCAGTTCCAGCTGCTTCTTCCTGTTTATATATCACCAAAATATTAACATGTTTATTTTATTGTGGTTTCTATGACCAACGAGAAGAAAAGAAATAAAATTGGCTCTGTGCTGATTAATTTTTTTAGTCACAGTTTTCCTTTACAAAATGGAATTAGGTCCTAAGTCTGAAAATCTACAGTTTCTATAGTTGAAATGATTGAAAATAATTGAAACAAGTTGATTTTAACATACAAATTCAACATTTTTTTAAAATTAAAAATATAACACTTTATATAAATAGCATTTTAGGACCATATAAAGGTTTAAAATCTTAAATTCAAGAACAGTATAATTGCTAATGCATTCATCAGACTTGTAAAGACTGGGCTGGCCTATTCTGTAGAGTGAAAGTTAGAAATTAGTCAGTCCATTTATATCTGGTAAGACATAAAACCGTGGCCACGGCTGCTTGCTGGTGAACATGATTAACACTCAGATACATGATCTTAAGTCCAAAGGAGTCGACATTAAAATTGCTGACATACATCAGTATTAGAAGAAGGGACTCCTTATTAAAAATCCATTGGCTGGAGGTGCGGCAACATGGTTTGTTTAGAGGTACCCCTTACTTGGAGGGCTCTTTGAATCCCTCATACTCTTGCTTTGAAGTACTCAATTCACCCAGCGTTTGTACCAGCTGTGTTCTTAGCTTCTCGACAGAGGCCAACGTGCTCGACTCTGAGGAAGTCATCAGAGGATGTCCTTGCTTACCTGAGTAACAACAGAGCAAAAGCACAGAAACTCTTAACTACTAAACTGTTGGTCAATATACAACATTTTCAATACTTCCGTCGGCCATCCAGCCAACAAAATGTATCGATCACTCCCTAACTGTAGCATACTGGGCATTATACATCCTGTGCTGAAGTGGAAGCATGAGGGGGGAGAGGTAAAATCAGAAAGCACATTTCTGACTGAGGAGTTTATAATCTAATTGGAGGCCCAGAATATACCCAATGTGTTTAAAAGTAACAGGCAATACAAGCTGAGATGACATAGGATGGGAAATACTTGGTCATGGCTAGATGACATCACCTCAGATAGGGAACAAAAAACATAGCTAAATAGGCATTCCTCTGAACGGAGAACTATTAACAAAATTTGTCACCCAGGGATCAGTGTTGGAAGCACTTCGATTTAAAGTATGGGTCAAAAGCATTTATCAGCAAGCTTCAAACAGGAGCTATGGGTTATTACATTCCCCAATTTGTCCAATGTGCTTTTAAGGCCAACAAAATACAGGACAAGAAAGGTCACTGGAAACAAAATATTTATGACGTTCACAAAAGCGCAGTTTGTATTTAGCTGAAATACTGTGTGTGATTTTGACCTGTACCTTAGCATGGATTTACAAAAGTCTACAAAGAGAACTTAAAATGATCAAGGGTACACAGGATTTGTGGAATAAGATTAAAAATATTAGAATTTCTCATAAAATCTCATCATTAAAAAGTAAATTCAAACTTCAATCAAACTCTAGAACATTAAAGGATATCTTTTAAGGGTCGAAAGAAATAGTTTTAATATAAATTACCACCATCTAGTGTGGAAATAAACCTATGGAACTTGTTATCTGAGGGGATGCTACAAGCAAGAAAATACACATATAATTCAAAAAAAGCTTAAGCAATTTCATAGCAGATAGCTACTTAACAGGTTATTCTGAGGAATGCCCAAAGGGGTTGGGCTGTTTTAAGCCTGACAACAAAAGGACAAGTGCTGGGAAGGTCATGTCTGCACACTGTCATCCAGCTAACTGGCTCATCAGTCTAATCTAGGATGGTCTTTATGAGTCTTCTTCCTGCGCTGAAGTCTCCACCAGTGGCCTTGTGCATGCTGCAGAGCTGGCCCTGGGTTCTCAAAGGTTCTGCCAACAGAATACAAACTCTGGCAGGTTCTTGAGAACAGGAACTGTTTTCATGCTTGGTTTTTTATGTACTTAGCACCTAGCACATCATAGTCTTACACAGAGTAGGGCTTAATAAATGTTTGATGAACTGAACTGTTATGCCAAGCACTTTAAATTGAAACATTATCTAATATCAAAACATTAGCTTGCATTATGTAAAACTATTTCCATTATGCTACATAATTCATTACTATGATTTTAAAGAAAATGTGTTTTAGTGTTTAAAAGAAAAATCATGATGCACATAAGTGACAGTCATTTCCACATGCAGAGGACACAATACACAGGAAAGTAGAGTAAGCACTTAAAACTAAAATTAAGACTGAAGATTGAAAAATATTACAAACAACATTTAAAAAACATGCCATTTTTACAAGACAAAGTCCTATACATCAGATGCACATTATTTCTTAGACCCTCTTGCCCCTCTATTGTTTTTACCTTTCTCATTTTCCTCTGTGCCAGACATTTCAAAGAAAGCTTGCTCTAATTCTGTGATGGTCTGTGCATCCATTTCCTGGACTCTCTTCACAGATTCTAAGGACTGCAGCTGCCTGTTCTCTTCTCTGAGAGAGTGGTTTTGCATGGCATACTTCACAATCTGAGGGTGCTGCTCTACCTGGGAGACAGGGGGTTTACGGATTTGGATTACATTCTTACTGTATGACACCATTTTCTAAATAAATGGGTCTGCTGAAATTAAATCTCCCCGAGAGAGACCTAAGATGCCTTTGGAAACAAAATGTTACAATTAATCCTGTGTGTGAGTAATCAAATCATGGGTAAAGGCCTACTTCTACAGTTTTCATTCATACAAAGAAAATACACTAACCATTTTGACACCAATCACTCCATATTTTAACTTTTACTTACTATAATAGCTAGGCTATGCTACTTCCACAGCTATGCCAAAAATACATTATTTTATTATTGCAACAAACTTCTTGCCTTCTATGAATCTTTTCATTTGATCCCTTAATGACTAAGTGAGATATGATATAGAGTAAGAATTAACCTTTCTTTATTAAGAGTAATGTTAAGTGACTATGAGGCTGCCCTGATAAAGGCTACATCTTAATTATGTGGTTAGTGGGTTCTTTTTTTTTTCTTATTAAAAAAAATTTTTTTAAGGCAATTGGGGTTAAATGACTTGCCCCAGGGTCACATAGCTAGTAAGTGTCAAGTGTCTGAGGGCATTTGAACTCAGGTCCTCCTGACTTCAGGGCTGGTGCTCTATCCACTGTGCCACCTAGCTGACCCCTGTGGTTAGTGGGTTCTACCAAACAGTATATCATTTAGTTTATCCCCTCCAACCTGCACAGTGTTTCTCAATTCTGAGAAGTTCTTCCTTTCAGTATCTTCCCCCACTGGGAGACTACCACTGTCAGGGAAAATAAAATTTTCATTCTTTTGAAATCACAGCACTCAAGTGAATCCATTCCTAGAAGTATTATCTCAAAGGTTTTTTTTTTCCTTAAACTCTTCAGTATGTCTAAAAGTAAACTGGCAGGTTACAAAGCCTAGAATAAATCACTTGTCATCACTGTCCTTAGCAGAAATGTTACTGGAGAAAACAGTCCATCTGCTTTTAATTTCCCATTTAAAAATTCTTTTAAAAAAAAGTTAAACTATATCCTATTCCCTCCCCAAATTAGAAAGTTTTATAGCTGTATAAAAGGTTAACTTAGGTTACAGAAATTAAATCAGGGCCTTAATTGTGTAAGTCAATAGACAGTATTAGCACTTCAAAGTCCGTTGAAGCACTGAAAAAAATAGTCATATTGCGTCACCTGGTTTTTGAGAAATCCAGTATGACCTACTACGTATCACATGAAAGCTATATTTCTACCCAAGATTCATTTAAATTATGAGCTTCCCCCTCCCCAAAATCCTGTTAAAGCCAAACAGGGTTGATTGAGGGGTACAAATGCAGCATAAAACAAAAAGTGTTGAATGAACAAGTTATTGGGGAATGTGGGAAACCCCAACGGCAGCAGCTCTGTAGCCATTCCTGGAGGCTACAGGCACATCTTTTTGGCCCATCAGCTTTGGCCTCAATCCCAGCTGGTGGACACAGTCTCATTCTACAACTTACCTCTTTCCATTTCAGACTGACAGGGATTGAAGGAAATCAACTAGTGGGAACAACCACCTGAATTAAGTAGCTCAAGTGGCTTAACCAATGAGATTCATTAAAAAACCAGTCATTTCATCAAATCGTGTACCTGCCTGCCCCATCTTCACTCTGCGTTTATGAGGTTCTCTACTCTCAGGAAGCAGCCCAAGTCACCCGTGCTCACCTGTTCTTGCAGAGTCTGTATCTCTTCCCTTAACTCACGAAGCAGCTCATCCTGTTCTCTGGGCAGAAAATGGCCTCTTGCTTCTCTCTGGAGTTTCTCTAAGCATATTATATGATCTTCCTGGAATTTAATGATCATTTTATTGGACTGAATGAATTTTTCCTTCTTGACAATGAGATCTTCCAACTGTGCAACTTTTTCTAATAAAGACTTGAGGAAGAGATAATTTGGTAAAATTAATGACAAATGAGCCTCCCTCAATATTTCTTAAGAATTCATAAAGCAGATGATAGAATCTGTAAATACCAGCTTCAAATTCAACCTTAATTCAGATATTTTATATTCTTCCTGGTTTTTATTTTTAATATTTTGAGTGGCAAAAATCTGCTTCAATTTTGAAAAGTTAAAAAAAAAAAAAAGAAAAAAAAAGGATGCTCTAAATAGCTCTAATCCCACTATGGTAAAACTCAAGTTTCTTACCTTCTTTTCATGTTCTGCTTTCTTCAAGAATAACATTGACTCTCGAAAACACTTCATGTATTTAGTATTTTCTTTGTCTAAAATAAAAAAAAAGTCATTTCTCCCTCACAAAAATACTAAGCAACAAACTTATCAAAATTCCAACACAAAACAGCAATAAAATTTTCTTTTGCATGTAACAAGATTTTTCCAGTATGACAGAAAATCAGAATTTCAAGGCTGGAGACAACCTTAAAGCATCAGTTCAATCTCTCCCTTTACAGGGAAATGTATTTCTAGTACCTTTACTTTCAGACTCAGTAGTTACTCAAAGAAGAAAATTAAGTTTTTCTTGCCCCAAGTAACAAAATTATACACATGCATAATGTCTAAAAGAAATAATAGGTGTCAACATTTTATTAAGATCTTTTCTTTTCATGGTTATCTGACTACATACAGGGAAATTAATTATTGTTTCTTAGCTGTATGATATGAATAGCAATAGAAAGGGAGAGTTCAGTGTGGGTAGAATATTTGTACTTAAACATAAGACAGTAGAAAATGTATAAAAAAATAAGTCTCATCCTTTTAAGCACTGAAAGACAAGTAGGGACATAGGTATCACAACTTGGATTATAAGCCAAAGCTGTACTAAAGAGAAATGAGCTAGAAGTCATATCAATTAAATATTTACCTAGAAATCTCTATGGGATTGCAAATATATGCAGGATATGAAGAGATGAGCACTTGATAAAATGTTTGTTGAATTGTACTGCTAAAAAGGATCTTTTGGAGTAGGTGAGGCAATTGCGTACATTTGAATTTGCTCTGAGATCTAATCCCAATATCCTTTAAAGGATAAGGAAAATACTACACCCAGATTTAATTTTACTGTAAAAATGCCATTAGAAGATCATACCAAAATATTTAAAAAACTATCAATTTCTGATTTAACTGTAGCACAATAGTAATCCATAGACTGAGGCAGCTAGAAGGTTTAGTGGATAGAGTGAGCACTGGGCCTGGAGTCAGGAAGATCCAAGTCAAATCCGGCCTCAGCCATTTACTAGCTGTGTGATCTCGGGCAAGTCACAAAATCTGTTTGTCTTGATCCACTGGAGAAGGAAATGCAAACCACTCTAGTATCTTTACCAAGAAAGCCTCATAGACAGTACAGTCCATAGGGTCACAAAGAGGCAGGCAGGACTGAACAACTGAACAACAATATATAGACTACAAAATTAAGAACTGGAGCCACATGAAAGTTTTCCCAGATGTGATCTTGAAGCATTGCAAGGATGGGAAGCAAAAGAAGATGGCAGATAAGAGACTTACTACCAGAAGCCATTTATTCAGATACAAAGAATGCTACACATGAGAACAAGCTTCACTGCTCTCCCAGCTCTGTGCCTACCCCCTGGACCTCCCAGTGCTTCAGCTGCATCTCACCATGTTGACCAAGGCTACCTTCCCAGTCTCCCTTCCCCCTTCAGCTCCTTTTAAGTTTTCTACCCCATTCAAATGGGAGCTCCTTAAGGTCAAAAGCTATCTTCTGTTTGGCTCAATGAATATTCCCAGCACTTAGCATTCCACTTGTTGACTTAAGATGCAGCTGCTGCTCAATCATTAAGGAAACCAAAGAAAACCAAGTACATCAGCTGACCTAAATGTCAATTTCAAGGGTTGTTAGTTTGATTTCAATTCTAGACTGGGGGCATCATGGGGCTACAGAACTCCTGATGAGGAAATCCCCTCTACCAATGCAGACAGGCCACCATTCTGCAGGATATTAACTGACTTTAGCAGGATCACACAGCCAGAATGAGTTAGAAGCAGGCCTTGAAGCCAAGTTTTCCTGACTGCTAGGCTGGCTACCAATCTACTCTTTCTGTTACTACCTTCCAGTAGTAATCATGTGTATTTATAGAGGCTTATAAAATATTTTCCTCCCAACAATTCTACAAGGGACATATGAGAAACTGAGGCCCGAAAAGGACAAATGACATTAGTAAATGTTATAGCCAGGACTTTAGGCTGCCTACCTTAAGAAGGCTTGATGGAAGAGCTGGTCTTTAAAAGATGGGAGGGATAAAAGTGATGGCACATATGTACGTTAAGTACTGTGCTAATTGCTTAGTGTGGAAAATGAAAGAAAATATATATGCTTTCTGATTTTTAGTTCCTTAGATTTATAAAACAGAAAAAATATCTGCATGCTGATGATGGAAGAATCATTTTCGGATTTTTCACAGCAACAGGAATGGGAATGGTGATCAAGAAGCTGACCTTCCACAGGAGAAAGAGACATTATTTTAGCATTTTTTAAGCAGATTTGAGACAAAGGAAGAGAACGGGCCAACATGACTCCTGCAAAAGTCATTGGAATGAGGCAAGTCTACAAGGCTTTACTGTATGAACAGAACCTTCCCGACTATTTTTGGTGTGACTTCTGCCATTTGGGTCATGTCTACATTTGGAGCTCAGCCACAGTCCCCTCTGCGTGTCTCCTGCCTGGGCTGATGTGCTCATTGGCCTGGAGTCTTGCTCATCTACTGGTTCCTCTGGTCCCTTCTTCTGTATTTCAGTGACTATTATCTGTGACAACACAGAGTTTGAGATCTGGTCATCCTGGGCCCCCTCTGCCACCTGATCTCTTTATCCTTTGCTTTGTAATTCTTGGCCTTTTGCTCCTTTAAAGGGATGCTGTTCTTCTACCTCATTCTAGACAGGAGCTCCTTGGTCATTTGCCTGGGGCAGCACTAAAATGCTGGGCTAAGTCCAAAGCACTTTGGAATAAAACAGAGGATGAGAAACACTCTGGCCACCTCACCTGGGACAGCACTGGCACCTGTGGCCAGGTGAGCCAGCTGTTCTTTGAGCTTTTTCACTTCTGCTTGAAGCTGGCTCACATTTCCTTGCATGTCTTCATTTACCACAGCCTGATGCAAAAAAAAAAAAGACAAAGAATGAAAATTATTTTGTTACATAGTTTCCCAAGTTAATTTTGCCACTGAACTTCAACTATAATGATGAAGCTTATAAATATTGGGGAGGACAAGAGACTTGAAATGCTCCTAGCGAAAAAGAAGAGATTGGGAACATTTTGAAAGAAAATTAAGCCTTTTTTCATGCTGGAAGATTGCTGTGTTATGCATACATATGCATTTGATTTTTAATATTTTCAGAGGGGAAAATATAGCAGGCATTCTTAATTAATCATTCACACTGCATAGTTTACATTCAAATTTGTATATGATGTACAATGACAAAAAGTCATACTATTCCACATACAAACAGCAACAAAATACCTAGAATAAAAAATGCAGAGACATGAAGGACCTTGAAGATCATTTAATCCCAATATCTCATGGTAAGGAAATGGAAGCCCCTAAGACGTGATTTGTCCAAAGTCACTAACCATACTAGTGGAAATACAGGAACAAGAACTAAGGGGTCAGGGCATGTAGTGATGTAAGACTCGAGGGCCAATACAGTGCGCCTTCTTTTATCAATCAGTCAAAAAGTATTTATTAAGTACCCTGGTGCTAGATACCATGCTAGGTGTTGGAGCGACATATGCTAATAGTGACACAGTCCTTGCCCTCAGAGTGCTTACATCTTATCAGGAGGCTACATGCCCTATATTCACTTCTCTATGTTTATACAAAATACAAAGTGACAGGTGTATGTCTACAAATATAAATTAGGGGATTCAGAAAAGGTCTCTCTTGAAGAAGACAGCCCTGGGGCTAATCCTTGACAGAACCTAGGGGTTCTAAGAAGAGATGGGAATGAGGATGGAGAACAATTTAAGAACAGAAAACAGTCTGTGCCAAGGCCCAGAACTGGGTGATTCAGTGTCTCAACAAGCACTAGGAGTGACCCAGCCAGCCTGAGTTCAGCTCTGCTGAACAAAACTAACAAGGAACCTAAACATCACTTTTTGGTCCAGAGCTCTCAGACTCCAAGTGACAAGGCTGGCTGCTTAATCCAGATTCCCTGAGCCTCCTTTCAATTCTGATCTGGGATTCTTAGGTTCTTAGGACAAACTCCCTCTCTTTCTCCTCTCTCAAGTTCTCCTCCTGTAGACAGGTTAAAAGTCATTTGGAGTTCCTGCCCCCCCCCCCCCCCCACATAGCCCTAGAGCAAGTCTGGGGCTGCACGCTTGTTAATCAAGGTGCATACTGTCCTTGTGGGAGTTGTGTGTGCTGACTGCAACTCTACCAGCAGGGCTGCTTCCTCATGGTGAGTGGTCACTTACCTCTTACTTGATTAAGTTAACCTCTATTCTGGTTGGGAATTGGCAAAGGATCCCTCTCATAGGGAAGACAATTTGCACAGAAGGCTGCAAAGAGAATAAGAGAGCAATACTCCTCTGGACTTAAATGGTTCACAGGGAAATAGTGATTGCGTCCTGATGCTCTTGCTAAGTTCAAGACTAAACCAACACGAACCATATCATGGGATACTAAAAAATATGGAAAGGCACTACAGAATTGGATTGTTTTAGAAAAAGGAAAGAGTATAATCTGCCAACTAAGCCAATAAGCTCGACTTGTTCCTGGTGAAATCCTGAACCACAGTATTAAAGAGGAGGCAAGCAAAAGGAAACCTAGAAAAGGAAATGGTGGTTGCAAATGGCCAATTTAACTTTATCATGAACATGACATGTCAGATTAACCTAATTTCCTTTAAAAAAAAATCAATTGAGATTAGGAAATAAGGATAATGCTGTGGATATAGTTTACCCAGATTACAGCAAAATATTTGGCAAAGTTCCTTGCACCATTCTTATGAATAAGAGGAAGAGACACAGGTGTGTCAGATGTATTTAGAACTGACAATGTCTGGATCCTAAAAGGGGTGACTAATGGTTCTGTATCAACCTGGAAGCACATCTTTAGTGGGCTGTCCCTGGATTCTGTGCTTAGCCTTGTATTGTTTAACACTTTTATCAGTGGCTTGGATAAAGGTAGAGATGGCACATCCATGTTATCTGCAGATGACACAAAGCTATCACAGTTCTAGTCTTCAGCCAAGTCTGAAGCCTGCAGAAGAACAACCAAGGCAGGAATCCCAGGCCAAAAGGGGGCCTGCAGTTGGGTTACTCAGAACCAGCAGAGCTTTCTAGCTGCCTGACGGTAGCTAAGTCCAGCCACAGTCTACTGGAGCTTCCAACCAGGGACAAGCCAACAGGATTATAAGCACACCCAGACCTGGGTCAGAGACCTGCAGGACTCAGACCAGCTGGGCAGTAATAAGACTTTGCCCTGGGGAGCACTGATAGTTTGCAGGCTCCCAGCCTGAACTGTCCCCGAGATTCTGTCAACACAACACTTGATAGCCCAAGAAAGCAGCAGCAGGACAAGAAGTGTACCTGGCCCTAATGTAAAAAGCCTGAAGTCAGAAGGTAGGCTAGAAAAATGAATAAACAAAATATCCCACCATAAAAAGTTATTCTGGTGACAGAGACACTCAAGCTATAAACCCAGGAGAAGAGAATGATTCCACAATATCTACAAACAAAACTTCAAAGAAAAAACACAGCAGCTGGGCACAAATTCAACTAGAATTCAAATATGAGTTAGACTAGACAGATAGTTTCTGAGGTTCTTGGTACCTCTGAGATGATGTAAGATAATTTAGGAAATAAAGTGTCACTTATACTTAAGCTTCACTTCCTCCTGAAAGAGAAAACAAAACAATCTTCCCATAGCCATGCCCCCAAATCCTAAAAACTACTCAGGTAGAAAATGTGTTCTAAGGTTCAATTTTGACTGTTCCTTTTCATATGTGTCTTTACCCAGTATAAGCTTTTCGAGGGCAAGAATGGTCTTTCTTTTTGCTTTTATTTGTATCCTCTGCAATTAGCACAGTTGCCTAGCATATTTGGTTTGACCATAAAATAAATGACCAACATTTCATTTTTATGGCATTTCATCGAATAATTTTTATTTATTTTACTGGTGATAAAAAATACTCATAAAAAATTTACCTTGTTTTTAATCAGCTTAGCTCTCTGAGCAAAGTTAAGAGTTGAGAGAGTTTCTCCAAAACACTTGGATCCAGGGTGGACATTTGCAATTATGGCTGTTCTGGCATTACCTCCAAGAGAATCCTATTTAATAATATTAATTTTTAGTTAAAAAAAATCAGACAATAATTTCCACCTATAGTAAACAAATAATTGGCAAACAGAATAAGAAAGAGTTGCTTCCATGACCAGTTCATTTGGTGTGACTTTTAAAACAGTACGTTCAACAAATGGCCTACTGTACTCGGAGTAAGAAAGTAAGCTTGGAGTCCTGGTAGCGCATGTGTCTTGGTTTTCCAATACGAAAGTCTATGAGGGCTGTAATCACTTGATTGAGGCAGCTCAATGACCAATTTACATTACCTGCTTCCTAAATCACCAGAGAAAAAGAGGAAATGCTTAATTTAGCACAGTCAACTTGTTTTTTAACTAACAAAATCACAAACAGCAGTAGCTGAAACTCTGACTGGCAAGTGCCAAAGAACAATAGTACTGGCAATGATTTTCTTAAAAACAACAAAAGACAGTGCCTGACCACACTAATCTTTTCCTACATTTACCTCTTACGCAATTTTTAGTACTTAAAGGGAAACAAAGACACATTTTTGTTGTTCCGTCATTTTTTAAGTAGTGCCTGACTCTTTGTGACCCCATTTAGGGTTTTCTTGGCTAAAATACCAGAGTGGTTTGCCATTTCCTTCTCCAGCTGATTTTACAGATGAGGAAACTGAGGCAAACACGGTTAGGTGACTTGCTCAGGGTCACATAGCTACTAAGTGTCTGAGGCCAGACTTGAACTCAGGAAGATGACTCTAGCCAAGGAAACATACTAGATTTAATTTTATAAAATACAGTGGACCCCTATCCTATATAATAACTGACTTTTGGAGACAGAATGAATGTATGCCTATTAGGTTTTTCTGTGTGAAGTCATTTCAATAATTTGACTTGAGATAATAGAGTTTTGAAAGAAATAAATCAGAAAGCAACATATGTTGGGGCTGGCTACCTTTTGTTTGCATTACTCTATTATCAGTGGAAGTACGAACTTTAGGAGAAGATGAGGAAGGAAATGAGAGGGTCCAGGTAGTGTAGATTATCACTTTTACTCAGTTCCTCCCTAACTTGGGTCCACCTTATCCATCCACACTCTCTTCCCATTTCTCTCTAAAGTCTCTATTCTAACCAGGATGCATGATGGTCTTGCCATTTTCTGAAAATGCCATGTTCACTGTACCATTCATGTAGATGCCTTGATCTGGGATGAGCTTGCCTTTTATTTACATCCTACCTGTTCTTCAGACTTTGCCCAAATTTACCTCCCTCCATCAAGCATCTCTCAATCATCCTTGGCCAATCTGGTTTTTCCCTTTTCTAAACCACTTTCCAGCTATAGTACAAACTTTGGCATTTGATAAATTGAAACATCAAAGTGATAACTAATGTCTTGTCCACCCAGTAAGACAGTAAGCTCCTAAAAAGCATGTGTTGTATGTCATCCTTTTCAGCCTTTAGTCCAGTCCTACAGTAGGGGGTCAAATATTCAACATCCACTGAAGATCCCATGCCGAATTCTTACCTTCAATCTCAAACCTTCCATATGTGTATCTTTTTGTCTTTCATATCCAGCTAAGTCCACCAGGTTGAGTTGGGAGCACCGAATATTGACAACATTATTGTTTTTCTCCATTGATTCTACTGTAATTGTAAAGACAGCATGAGACCTGGAAGACTTTCTATTCATAGATGTCGCTGCCACACGTCTATTTCGCCATCCCTTAGATAATACCTGGGAAGAAAGGAAGATAGCAAAACACCAGCAATAGGTACATTCAAGAAATAGAAACTGATATTGCTAACCAGGAGCTTGAGAATAATTTTTTAAAAAATAAGGGATAGCCCCAAGAAAGTGTGTACACACACACACACACACACACACACACACACACACACACACACACACACACACACTCTCTCTCTCTCTCTCTCATTTATATAATAAATGTTTCAACTCTAGAACAGGGCAGAGAAACATACTACCTCCATCTCAATTTCACTTGGCCTTCTAGTCAAATGCCAACTGGTTTATCAGGCAGGGTACTATACTCTAAGACTTTTAAAGTTCCTTCCAAGCCCCAAATGCTAAGATATTATGGTGAGATCCTATTTTGTACCAATAGATGCAATAACATCACCACTTTCATGTCATGAATATGACAAAAGGGTTACATGACAGAAACCATTTAACTAGTTTGAAGACTTTGGGCTTCAGACCAGTTCATACTCCCTTTTGCTGTGGCAGATGTGGGTTTGTTGACAATGTTGTCCTCTTCAGAATTTGTTTTGATCTTCACTCTTCTCATAATATGAATCTATGGCATGTTTCTTTTTACTCATGGTTTCTTTATTCTCTGGCCTTTAAAGAGATTGAGCTCTCCTGCTGGGGAGCAGAGGGCACTGACCCAACCTTCTTGTGTTGGGAGCCTCGGTCTTGGTCACTGGCTTTGTGTGCTGGGGCCTCGTATGCTGGCAATTGGAGGCCGTAGGGTTCTGGAAGCTTACCTCGTGTTGGGCTGGAATCAGCAAGGCTGGGACTTTAGGAACTAGTTTGAAGACTCTGGGCAAGACATTTCCCCTCCTAAGCCTCAGTTTACTCAGTCATAAAATGAAAAGTTGGGCTAGATCATCTATAAGATTCCTGCCAGAGCTAAAATCTATGACCCACAGCCTATCACATTCACCATCACATGAGGTGAATTAATGCTGAACAGTATAATCTTCAACTTGTCATGCCTGACAAGTGGTCAGGAAGCCTCTGCCTAAAGATCTCCACTGACCACAACTTGCTACCTCCCATGGGAAAGCATTCCCCTGGGGATGACTTATTATCAGAAAGCGATTTCTAATAGAAACTCTCCTCACAGCAACTTCTGCCCACTGTTTTTACTTCTGCTCTCTGGGGGAAAAATAACATCAAATTTGCCTTCCTTTCAAATACTTGAATTCAGAGACAACAATGCCTCCTCAAAGTGGAGAAGGAAATTGGTCTTGGACATTCTAAGCTGGGTTTTTGTGATGCCAGTTTCTTTGTAGGACCCTTTCTAAGTCTCTTTTGCTGGTTCATCATCCATATCATGCCCCATAATTGTGGGTATTCCTCAAACCTCTGTCCTGGGCCCTCTTCTCTGTTCTACCCTGTCAGTGACCTCATAAGCTACCATGATTCTAATCATCATCACTATGCAGACAATTTCCAAATCTATTCCGAGACCAGTCTCTCTCTCTTGCATTCCAATCACATTTCTCCAACTATCTATTGTATATTTCAAACTCAGCATGTCCAAATTCATTATCTTTACCCCAAACCCATTCCTTTTCTGAATTTCCCTATTTCTGGTGAGTGTACCAGCATCCTTCTGGTGAAATAATGGTAGTATCCTTCACTCCTTACTCTCCCCTCACCCTACATATCCAATCAGTTACCAATCTTAGGATTTCTACCTCCACAACATCTCTTATTGGATCTCTTCTCTTTTCTTACATAACCATCCTGCTAGGCCACACCTGCATTACCTCTTGCCTGCACTACTGCAAGAGCCTCCTAATTGAAAAGCATTGAACTTGGAGTCACAAAGACCTGTTCAAATTGTGTATCAGATACTAGTTATATGAACCTAGACAATTCCTTTACCAGCTTCACATTTCCTCATCTGTAAAATGGGGATAATAATAGCTCTCAGGGTGGTTGCGAGGATCAAAGGAGACAACATTTGTAAAGTGCTCTGTAAAACTTAAAGCATTATATAATTGCTAGTTATTAATTGGCCTTTGTGCCTCAAGTCTCCCCATAGCTGTCAGACAGGATGTACTTAAGCATAGGTCTGACTAGATCATTCCTCTACTCACTACATTTCAATGGTTCCCTAGCGCCTCTATGTTCAAATATAAACTCTTCTGTCTTGCTTTTAAAGTCCTTCACAGCCTGGTCCCAACCTGTCTTTCTAATCTTATCATACATCATTCCCCTTTCTGCATTCTACAGTCCAGACCAACTGGACTTCCTGTTTTCTTCCAACCCATCTCTGCATCTTTGAATTCATTCTAGTAAGAGAAGGCAAGAGAGGATGGTTCAACTGCAAGCCCGATGGAAAGGCCCAGTACTCCTCAGGTTCATTGGCAAAACAGAGAGGAATGGATCTTCTTTAATATTTCCACTGATAAAACCACAACCATTTCTGATGCTGAACCACTTGCCAGTACTAAGAACTTGGGTTGTGATAATTTCTATTCTAGGCTGTCAGTAGCTGTAGCTACTGAGGAGTAAAGGGATAGGCAGAGGTAGCTGTACCTGCAAAGTGGTCAGTGAGCAGCATCTCCAGAAAGGCCGATTCCCTGGATGATGGCTGTTAGGACTAACCTATCCAGGGATCTTTTGTTTCCCAATATTCCACAATATACATGTTTCCCTTTTACCTTGTA